AAGGAGTCTTTCTCACAGCTCAGCACCCTGCTTCTCCTCTGTCACCCACTACATCCCCTCTGACACTCTCCCCTGAGAAACTAAAGAGCTACCAGCCTTCCTCATGTCAAAGATGCAGCCACTACCCTGGCCTCAGCTGTCCAGTTCATTCCCATCAGCAGTGTTAACTCAAGACTGTGTGGAGATAATAAATTGTGGCTCATTCTCAAAGCCAATAGCCTAGTGAAAGATTCTCTTTGGTCTGCCGTGGTTAGGTATCTATTCTGATCCCGCTACCCTTGTCCCAGGAGGTGAACATAGCTACAGAAACCTGATTTTGGAAAGGGGGTGGATTTTTAGAGGAGAATTGGGCTTATGGGTAGGATTTACCCCTTAAAATGCACTGCAATGTCTATTTTAACTATAACTCTACCCTCCAATCAACTTTTAAAATACAATCCCTATGACACTTCCCAGGCAAGATGTGTTCTTTCTGTTTTTTGAGCAACTGGGGTTTCCATAGTCAGTAGAAAGAAACTAGAGATGATAGAGTCAGCTGTGGTGAACTTCACACTTTTTTTCCTTGCATATTCCTTCAGAAGCGTTAAAAATCCATTATCTCAGGGGCACCTGGGTGGCTCAGTCCGTTAAACGTCTGACTCAATTTCAGCTCAAGCCATGATCTCACCATTGTGGGACCAAGCTATGCACTGGGGCTCTGCAATGATAGCACAGAGACTGACTGGGATTCAATCTCTCTCTCTCTGGCCCTCCCCACCCTCTGTAAATAAATAAGTAATAAATCCATTATCTCAGAACATTTTCAGGTATACATTTATAAGTTCTCATCATGAATCTTGACAGTTGCCAAGGATGTAATTTCTAGTGTATTGTACATTTTGGCAATTTTATTTTATTTTTTTTTATTTTTTAAAATGTTTTATTTATTTCTACGAGAGAGAGAGAGAGAGAGAGAGACAGCATGAGTAGGGGAGGGTCAGAGAGAGAGGGAGTCACAGACTGAAACAGGCTCCAGGCTCTGAGCTGGCAGTCAGCACAGCGCCCGACGCGGGGCTCGAACCCACGAACTGCAAGATCATGACCCAAGCGAAAGTCGGACGCTTAACCGAGTAAGCCACCCAGACACCCCTTAGCAATTTTATTTTAAATAGATGTGTTCTGTCGTTCATTTAAATATATCTAATTTAATTTAGGGGCACCTTGGTGGCTCAGTCAGTTAAGCGCCTGACTTTGGCTCAGGTCATGATCTCATAGCTCGTGAGTTCGAGCCCCATGTCAGGCTCTGAGCCTGAAGCCTGCATCAGATTCTGTGTCTCCCTGTCTTCTGTCTCTCTCCTTCAAAAGTAAATAAACATTAAAAAATATTTTAAATAAATAAATGTATCTCATGTAATCTAAACACCAAACCTACTTAATACATCATCCATTTAAAAAATGCAAGCCCTTTACACTATTGTTTTTCTCCTCAATTTTATGTCCTACAAATTTTTATCTAATAAAATATAGCTTATGCTTAATTTTTTAATTTAAAAATTTTTTTAAATATTTATCAATTTTCGAGAGAGAGAGAACATGTGTAATAGACAGCAACAGGTGGGGAGAGGGGACAGAGAGGGAGGGAAAAAAAATCCGAAGCAGGCTCCAGGCTCAGAGCTGTAGCAGAGAGCAGAATGCAGGTCTCAAACTCACAAACCTCAAGATCATGACCTGAGATGGGGCGCCTGGGTGGCTTAGTTGGTTAAGCGTCTGACTTTCACTTAGGTCATGATCTCACGGTTCGTGGGTTCAAGCCCCACGTCGGGCTCTGTGCTGACTGCCAGCTCAGAGCCTGGAGCTTGTTTTAGTCTGTGACTCCCTCTCTCTCTGACCCTCCCCTGCTCACGCTGTCTCTCTTTGTCTCCTAGAAATAAATAAAACATTTTTAAAAATTATAAAAAAAATAAAATAAAATAAATAAAAATAAAAATTAAAAAAATCATGACCTGAGCCAAAGTCAAATGTTTAACCAACTGAGCCACCCACTCGCCTCATAGAGAAGCAAAGAGAGGAGAGAAAGGGAATCCCAAGCAGGCTCTGTGCTATCAGCACAGAGCTCAATGCAGGGCTCCAACTCAGGAACCGTGAAATCATGACCTGAGCCAAAATCAAGAGTCAGATGCTTAACCGACTGAGCCACTCAGAAGCCCTTTGGAAGTCTTTTATTTATCAATGTATATTTCCCTATAAAAGTATTTGTGGTGTGTATGTATACATATATATGTGCGTGTGGTATATATATTTTACATGTATATATACAATTTTTTTGTGATACAAAGCTCTAATTTTTTTTATCCTGGATTGAGTCATCTTTATAATTTTTATAATGAGAAAGTGAAAATCAACTCAACTGGAAGTCAAGACCATACTGTAACTGCAAATTTTCTTTTGAGTGACTGCCACTTTCTTACTAATGACACTCCAACCTCAGATTCTTCTTCTGTTCCTCCCACTTCTTGCACAAAGTTACTGAGGTACTCAGCTGCTGAACTGTCCCAGCTTCTTAACATTATGCAGTTGAAATCTGGCCCAGCTTCCCCTACCTCTCAAAAATCTCCTAGCAGACAGAAAGTCAGGCTCTGTGCTGACAGCTCAGAGCCTGGAGCCTGCTTTGGATTCTGTGTCTCCCTCTCTCTGTGTCGCTCCCCAATGTACACATTTTCTCTCTCTGTCTCTCTCTCTGTCTCTGTCTCTCTCTCTGTCAAAAATAAATAAAACATTAAAAAAAATCTCCTAGCAGAAAGGGAAATAATTCAGTAAGAAAAAGACAAATATATGATTTCACTCATAAGTGGGATTTAAGAAACAAAACAAAGATACATGAGGGCAAAAAGAGAGGAAACCCAGTAAACAGACTCTTCACTATAGAGAACAAACTGATGGTTACCAGAGGAGAGGAGGTAGGGGAATAGGTTAAATAGGGTGATGGAGATTAAAGAGGGTACTTGTGATGAACACTGGGTGTTGAATCACTAAATTCTACACCTGAAACTAATATTACACTGAATGTTAATTAATTGAAATTTAAATAAAAACTTGAAAAAAATTCCTACCACAAACTCAAATCCTGTAATAAGCTCCACTCTACTCCCTCTTACAAAGAAACACCTTGGTTTCTTCGGTCTGTATGTTCCTTTGCTGAGACAAGCTAAATAAACTTTATTTGACTTAGTGTCCTCCTGGTAGCTTTTGGCCAGTGGACTTCAACACACTTGATCAACACAATATAAATACATCAAAACACATCACAATTTTTCTTACAAAAGAACATCTTTGTTGGGAATGCATCTCATAATGACAAACATAGTCTTCCCACACATGTTAGTGCATGCACTCACCTACAGCTGTAACTTATTGCTAAAATGGAATAGTGTTCATTGTTAACTACATTACTATATTTTGATTTTATATTCTACAGTCACTGAGAAAACCCTCCACATATGAAGGGGCATATTCTCTCAATGTCTATCTTCTTAGAACTCTGTCTGAACTCCATGCAAAAATCAGTGGTTCATAATTAAACATTATTTTGAGTAGCTGACAGCTCAAGTTGGTCCTCCACTTTTTTTAAGTTTGTTTTGTTTTGTTTTGCTTTGTTTTGTTTTTGAGAGAGAGCTCAGGTGTGCATGCACTCAAGCAGGGGAGAGGCAGAGAGGAAAATTGAATCCCAAACAGGCCGCATGCTATCTGTGCAGAGCCCCACACAGGGATTGATTCCACTAACCATTACATGATGACCTGAGGCAAAATCAAGAGTCTGCATGCTGCTTAACCAACTCAGCCACCCTGGCACTACTGGTGCTCCATTTTTGTTGAAAGTAAGCCATTGGAAACACCTGATTTCCAGAATTGTTATGATGACTTGAGAAGTATTTATTCTCTTATCCCACAAAAAAATTTTACATGCTGCAAAGGTTTTTACATGTGGGGTATGTACTGTAGAACATTTGGAATGGACAGAGAATCATATGTCTTCTTCCTACGAAGGGGAAGAAAGGCTACATTGGCAGAGAGCGGCATGAATGTCTCTGGCACCTACACACAGAGGGAGGTGAGCACCTGAAAATTTATCTCTTGAAACAATCCTTTCCTCGAACCTCTTGTAAAGTCTTCCTGAACATGGACTGAAAAGCACAGCAAGAGAATTTAAATGAACTGAATGATAATTTAGTTCAGATGGGTATGATCAGAGGCACCCAAATAAATTTGAATGGGCTTTACCTGGGAGACCAACAACTCAAAAGTCCCTGGTTGAAGGCTTCCTTCACAGAGGAAGCCTTCCTTTCCACACAGAGCTTAACGGATACAGTCCAAGTTTCCCACGGTTTTTGCCATCCTCATCACCGTGCGTCTTTGTAAACAACACCCTCCGTTCTCAGATACACTTTTTTCTTATGGACCAAAGCATTTAACCAGGTTCTGTTGAAAACTTGTCACCTGAGGGCAATCGTTTGATATTTGCTTATTCGTGCACCTATCATTTATGTGTAGATTTTACTGGTTAGCTTTCAGAAGCAATCTCCCCACCTCCACCCCCTTCAAGTTTTTTGTTTAATTCCCGGCTGCAGACAGAATTTGACTTTTTTCAGAAAATAAAAGACAGCAGATGAGGTTCCAGTCTAGAATGTGGGTATAGTGCCTGATTCCTAGATAGGGTTTGCACAAGGAGAGCCTGTGAGTGCTGCTTACCGTGGCACTCATCGCCAGGAGTCTAAGGGGCTCTTTCAACAACAAATCTCCACTATGGTACAAGCAGGCCTTGCAAAGAGAGCGCTTTGCATTTCCAGGCCAGCCCTGGGAACCGAACTCTACAGACCAGAACCAGGGGGGGTGGGGGAGGAGAAGAGGCAGAACACGCATGCGCAGGGCGAAGGCGGAGCGGACGGCGCGCGGAACCAGCGCGCACGCAGCGGCCAGGCCCTATAAGCGGGAGCGCGCACCGGCGTGGACGCCAGAGACCGGGTTGGCGGGTGTAGGGAAGACGGCGCGTGCGTGGCCACCGGACGTCAGCCATGGCTCAAAGGCCGAAGAGGACTTTCCGGCAGCGCCGAGTCCCCTCCAGTGATAGCGATGACGCTGCAGAGCCGTCTGCTGAGCCCGGGGCTCCGGGGGAGCAGGAGGCCCCAGGCCCTACAGAGGAAGGGCCGTCCAGTGGAGGGGGCCGCGCGGAGGTGGCGGACTGGCGTGTTCGGGCCCGGGGCCCTCGCGGCCGAGTATGGGCGAGTTCCCGGCGCGCCGCAGGGACGGCTCCGCGAGCCGACGGCGGCACCGGCGTCCCAGGTGAGGCTGGGCGGCTGGGGAGCCGACGGGACGCGGGGCGAGGGGCGGGGCGGCGGGAAAAGGCCGCGGGGTCCGGAGGTTCCTGTAACGACTCTGACCTCGAGCAGTGCTGAGTTCCGGAGACGGCGAGCCAGACGGCCAGTCTCCGAGCGCTCCCTCGCCGGCTGCCCGCATCTCCGTGTCGGGCTTCTGGCGGGGGGGGGGGGGGGGCTAGAAAGAATCCTTTGTGGTTTGTGGCTTGTCTGTGTTTGCACCGTAAGGTGAACTCTCCCAGACGATAGCTTTAGCGCGGTACTTGCTGTTTATGTAGAACCTAATCGTCCCAGAACTTTAAAAAAGTTTTCTGATCCTGTTAGGTACGAGAAAGTTTTATGCACTTTTGGAAACGTCGCCAATTAGTTTTCTGGAAAACACTTAGCCAGAATAAGTACATTAGAAGAAATCTAGGGGACGTTTTCCTTTGCTTGTTTCAATTTTCATCAGTTACTTGCAAGAACGCAAATTAGAATGACGATGGATGTCACCTGGTAGCACAATGGATTGAAGATGCTGTAGACTCCACCAAGAGTGGCGGGAACTACAATGCAGTAGTTTTTAAGTACCTTTGCGTTTTTAAATCTAGAATTTAAGCAGCATGAAGATGTTTACATAAGATGTGTTCTGGTTAGAACTGGAGCTTAATAATGCAGTTTTCCGTTAGTTTTGAGATTTAAAAAATTGTCTTCTCCCGTGTAACTACTTTATTAAAAAAAGTAGTGACAGTGACATTGTTTTCCATTTGCAAATCTTGATGTTTCTGCATCAATCTGTTGTGATAGGTTGTTTCATTTGAAATATGAAAAGAAAACCACAGTACGTAGTGAATAGGAATACTTAATAGCCTTTTAGATTGAGGGTGTTCTGCTTTGGTATTACAACAAAGCTCAAACAGTAATTACTTAAAGGTCAGTTTGCAACTTGGTAGCTGAAACAGTTTTTCAGGGTTTTTTTTTTTTATGGTCACTTACATTAAAATCATTGGTCTGTTTTGCATTTGAATGGAACTTTTTTGCCCATGCATGATTGGTTACATCCTGCATTGACTATTGGAAATTATTTTTCATAGCATTTGCAAATGTTGGTACATTTTATTATACAGTATTCCCCCCCACAATCTGTTAATGTTACTACTGATAATCATCAGTCTTTAAGTATTGCAAAGACGCTCACAGTGCAGGATATGTTTTCCAAAAATTCCAGTTTTCGCCTGAAATCTCTAATTCTTGAAGTGATAGGCACACCTTTGCTCATTTTTGAGAAAATTTGTCAGGTATACATGTGGAAATAACTCAAGTTTATCAGTCATTCTTTCAAGTAAAGTGGTATTGCTCCTTGAAGATCATGGCTAGATCACCTTGCAACTCAGTCACACAAGTGCTTTGCAGTGAGAACCATTGTGTTCCAGCAGGCCCCAGAAGTGCATTATACACACTTCCATGTTGTTCTACAGAATATTTAAAAGATGTGTACTCAGTGGTCAAGATTTAATAAAGTTAGTGACTTCTAATTGCTTCATTGAGTATGGAAGTGCATCTGGATTTTTTTTTCCTGGCAATGCATGGTGGTGAACAATACAGTGACTGCTACCACACATTGCTGTCACTGATTGATTCATACTGAGAAGCCAGGAGTTTTACCCACCCCTGCTGTTGCTTCATTATGTAAATAAATAGCAGCAGAGTAAAATGGGCAGATAAGATGCTAATATTATGATGAGCATAGTTTTTTACTCAGAGACCCTCAGAAAGGGTCCTAGGGACTTCCAGAGGTTGATGGACCATGCTCCAAGAATCACTGCTTTGGTGTTCGTCGACTTTGGGAACAGGTAAGAGCAGTCGTAAATAGTAGCACAGAAAGATGTAATCTGTACTTGTATTCCTCTGTCTTCTAAGTTTTGATCTCCGGATTTTTTTTTTTTTTTAACTCTATATAGGTCTCTTAATTATGGGACATTTTTAAGATAAAGAGTACTATTTATGTAATCTTTTTAAGTTTTAAAATTTATAAAAAATACAAAATAATTGTAAACTAACAAGCCCTTTCTTGTCAATAATACAATGAATTCCTTCACATTTTGTTCATTCAGTTCTCACAACACCTTTATGGGGTTATCTCTTAATGTTGTCTTTGCTTAATAGATTATTTGGCAGACTATTCTTCCCAAAATCACACACTAGAATCAAAAGAGAGTCGTGGTTTGAGACCACAGTGCTCATTACAGTACTACGTGCCACCAGCCATTGAAATATCATATAAAGAGAGTCTAAATTCCAGACTTGAGTGAAACTAGATTGAAAGCCCTCTTCTCCACTTCGTAACTTTGTGACACTGGACATGTTACTTAGCCTCTCTAGTCCCTAATGTCCTTGTCAATAACATCATGCATTTACTTTACAGAATTGCAAAATTCTATAATTGTGTGAAATAACTTGTAAAACAGATTTCAGTGCCTAGCATATAGTAAGTGTACATTAGTTTTTTTTTCTTTTTCAATTTAACCACCACCATTTTTCTTTCTTGTTTTAAATATTCCTTCACTTGTTGTTGTGTTTTTTTCTGTACTGTTTCCTTTTCTCGTTGCATCTTTTAAGAGAATATTTTTTTAGATAAGCAGTTTGCTTAAATAGGGTAAGTCTACATTTATTAGATCATCCATTGGTTTCAGAATGAATGGAAATGGAGAAAGATCTGTACATATACCTCAAATATGTGGAGAAAAATTAAAATACTGTATTATACATATGCTATATGTTGTGTAGAATTTCAGTTATTGATTCCACTGTCTTGACTCTTTGTTCAAAAAATGTCCTTTTAGAATCCAGAATAGTTGATCTTTCAACAGATGAAGAAGGTGAAACAGAGCATTCCTCAGAAAGTAAGGATGGTCAGAGTTCATCATCCAACAGCTCTAGCTCTCTGGAAGAAGAGTTTTCATCAATAGGTTGGTAAATTTTGTGACTTAAGTTAACTTTATTTCTAATATCAGCATTTTCTACACCAGTGATTCTTATTATTGGTAACACAACTAACTCTAGTGAAGTATGGGGCAAGTACATCATTACTAATGATTGTCACAGTGCCAAAATTGACTGTTCTTTTCCATTACATGACATGCCCAAGGTCAGACAGCTAGTAAGAGGCAGAGCTAGGATTCAAACCCAGACAATCTGCTCCAGAACCTGTGTTCTTAACCGGTGTGCTACACTAGGTGATTAATGCCAGTATCTGAAGGGTGGCAAGAATTTGTTAGTGTGGATGTTTTGGGTACAGGATATAGCAAATATAAAACCCTAGGGAAGACAACATAGCATATGCAGAGAACTAAAAATAGTTGTTGGAATGAAAATATTTGGTTGGAGTGTAATATAGAGGAACGACAAAAAAAGCAAAGAGACAAATTGGAGTCAGATAATACAGAGTTTGGGAGAATTACTGAAAATTTTATGCAAATAAATGGCAGGACCATTTTTGTCTTTTAGAAAGATCAGTCCAGTTCAAGGAAAATTACCACTTGTGAACCAAATATGACCCATCACCTGCTTTTGCAAATAAATGTCTGTGACTGCTTTTTGTGTTAACAGTGACAGAGTTTAGTTGTAGCAGATACTTGATGAACATATTCTTCTGGCCTGTTACTGAAGCTTAAGGGTTTGTGACTTGTCCTGTCTGTGAACTCTTGTCAGTCTCATGAAGACTGGCACCCCTTCTGAGAAAATAAAAATATGTAGTTTTATAAAAGAAACAAATTAACTTGAAATGTAATTGTTTAAATGCATTTTTAAAGACGTGCAATGTAGTAATAAGTGCTTTATCATCATTAAATAACAAGCAGTAGCTCTAGTAATTTTTTTCTTTACATAAGTTCACAAGTTACAGAAGGACTTAATGATGAAACCAGTATTCAGAATTGAAGCCTAGTAGATAGTGAAGCGTTGTCTAGATTCTAGACAGAGTGCTGTCCAATGAAACTTCTTTGATAATGAAAATTTTCTATATCTTCATTGTCCACTACGTTAGCCACTAGCCACATGTAGCTGTGGAGCTCTTGAAATGTGGCTGGTGCAACTAAGGAACTGGATTTTGAATTTGGATACATTCAAATTGTCATAGTACTGGTGTAGAAGAAGGTGGACTAGGCCATATAAGCCAGTAGTTGTAAAGTGTTGGTAGCAGTGTCCATCTACGGAGGAAAGACTGTTTGCAAATGTGTGGGATAGTTTTTAATTATTGTGACTGAGGTATTGTTGGCCTGTAGTGCCGTGGAGACAAGAAATGATAAATGTCTTGCAGAGTACAAGGACAGCACAGCACAGAGAAGTTTCCCTTCTGAAATGTGCATATCAGAAACACTGGAGGTTGAAAACTTGTTCTGTGAGGGATACATTTTTTTCTTCTGGAGAAGAAAATATGAGGGAATGTGAGAAGTTTGGAGATTGGTACATGGACCAAGGAGTGCATTTATTTTTTTGTTCAGACAATGGAACTATTAGAATGATCCAATAGTGGACTACTGCCTTGATGTTGTTGCAGATACAGTGTGTTACTCATGGGGCATGATATTAACCTCTACTCCTCAGATAAGATGATATATGTGAAAATTATTTAACTTAAATCTGCATGTTTTTATTATAAAGCAATATGCTAACTTTATTAATTCATCCCATGTTTGGCCAGCATCTGCTATATGGGAACCTTTGAGTTAGGTGTTGGTGTATAGACAAGAGAGGATAATACTCTTGAAATTTTATTTCTTTATTGTAGCTTGAGAAAGGATTAGCTTTATATCTCACTAGTGAGTCCATTCCTATGATTTATTAAACCCCACCAAGTCATTTGCAATTATCACTTCCACTTCAAGTATTTCTGTTTTTGTATTCATAAACTTGAGTATTTGAACCTGAGTTTATCATCTTAACCCTGATTTCACAGTGAGTTTCTCAGAGGACTGTAAAACTATACTGTTGCTCAGCTCCATCTCAGATCAACTGAATCTGAATCTCCGGGATGGGGAGCTTGGGTACCAGTAGATTATCAAGCTTCCCAGGTGGTTCTTATGTATAACCAGCATCAGGAAATGTTAGTATAGCTTGTAGTGAAGGTTTTGAGTCTGAATTCAGCTTTAGAATATATTAATTGTCCCTCCCAGTTTTAAGGACATGTCTTTTTATCTTCATTCGTGTCATATTAAGATCATTAAACCAGGGGCACCACCTTGGTGGCTCGGTCATAAGAGTCCAACTCTTTGATTTGGGCTCAGATCATGATCTCATGGTTCATGTGATCAAAGCCTGTGTCAGGCTCTGGGCTGACAGTACAAAGCCTGTTTGGGCTTCTCTCTGTCCTTCTCTCTCTGCCACTCCCCTGTTTGTACTCTCTCTCAAAATAAATTTTAAAAAAAGATTAAAGCAGACAAGACAAAATACAAAGCCCTCTAGCAGGTGGCTATAGCACTTCATGATCAACTTTTTTTCCTTTGAGTAATTATTTCAACCAGTTAAGAATCCAGTGCAGTATGTGATTTTCCCCACACATTTTAACATTTTCCACAAGGAAACTATTAAATGTTTTTTAATGGAGGATGGAGAAGCATCTGACCTGCATCATGTCCCTGATCCTAATCTATAAAGTAGTGCTAGTCTGTAAAAAGTAAATCATTTGATTTGATCTTCCTTATTCTTTTTTTTTTTTAAATGTTTTATTTATTTCTGAGAGAGGGAGAGAGACCGCGTGAGCAGGGAAGGTCAGAGAGAGAGGGAGATACAGAATCTGAAACAGGCTTCAGGCTCTGAGCTAGCTGTCAGCACAGAGCCCGACGCGGGGCTCGAACCCATGAACCATGAGATCATGACCTGAGCCGAAGTCAGATGCTTAACCAACTGAGCAACCCAGGTGCCCCGATATTCCTTATTCTTAATGAACATATTGATTTTTAATGATAACCACTTACCATTTCATAATTCAAGCACTTTTTTGTTTTCCTTAGGACCGATGTCAAGCATTTTGGTCAGTAATTTCTGAATTCTGTCTCCTTTTTTCTGTTTCAAAAGTTGGAACATTTCCAAGTCTCCTTTTCTATTTATTTCTCAAAGGCACATAACCTTTTCTATTTATTTCTCAAAGAATTTGGATCATGGGCACCTGGGTGGCTCAGTCGATTAAGTGTCTGACTTCGGCTCAGGTCATGATCTCATGGTTCATGGGTTTGAGTCCTGCATCAGGCTCTGTGCTGATGGCTCAGAGCATGAGGCCTGCATCAGATTCTGTGTCTCCTTCTCTCTCTTCCCCTTCTCCACTTGTGCTCTGGGTCTCTTTCCCTTTCTCAAACATAAACATTAAGAAAAAAAATTTTTTTTAAAAAGACTCTAGATCAGTCTGTAGTAAAGTTTAGAACATTTTACTTGAGCCTTGGGGGCTTGACATCCCTAAAGAACATTTTGAATTGCTTCAAAAAGTGAAAATTTCTTTTACCATATGGTTTACCTTAGTATTTTGCTTAAGAAACTATTTTTTTCCAGAAAGTAAAGATAAATTTCAGCTTAGATCATGCACGAAGAAACTTGTTTTGAGTTGGAAGAGTCCATATTAATGTGGTTTATACTCTATAAAATAAGAAAGCCTAGGGGCGGGGCGCCTGGATGGCTCAGTCGGTTAAGCGTCCGACTTTCGCTTAGGTCATGATCTTACGGTTCATCGGTTCAAGCCCCGCGTCGGGCTCTGTGCTGACTGCCAGCTCAGAACCTGGAGCCTATTTCAGATTCTGTGTCTCCCTCTCTCTCTGACCCTCCCCTGCTCACACTGTCTCTCTCTCCTAGAAATAAATAAAACATTAAAAAAAAAAAAAAGAAAACCTAGGGGCATCTGGGTGGCTCAGTTGGTTGAGCATCTGACTTCGACTAAGGTCATGATCTCACAGTTCAAAAGTTTGAGCCCCACATCTTTGCTGTCAGCAAAGAGCCAGCTTTGAATTATCCGTCTCTCTCTCTCTCTCTCTCTCTGTCTCAAAAATAAACAAACAAAAGACTAAACTAAAGCAAGGCTCTGTTAAAAGATCTCACTTAAATATTCTTCAATGAACCTGATTATTTTCTTTATACTTTTTAACTTACATTTATTCATGTAGAAATCACCACAGGACCTTAGAGGCTGACTTGGCTTGTGGTTTTAGTTTCTTATTCCCTATATGCTTGGATGCTCTGGGATGGGGCAGGGCATAAAATATATAGCGTCCCTCTTTGTGAGTTTTAACTGGCCAATCCCCCTTCATTCTAACCTCCACAGTTCTCATTGACTAAGCAACTCTTTGCTCAACTCTCCACATCCCTACTCCCCTCACAGTCTCAGAGCTTCTGGAAATGAGAAATAGCCCTCAACAAAAAGTCAGCAACAACATCTGATGAATAAGAGAGCTCAAAAATAAAATGAAGTGGTAGAATATTTTCTGATACTTCTAGATTTGGTTCATTTTTTAATTTACATTTAATCTCTATAAAAATAATTTATAATTGATGTAAGTTTTGAGCTGTATAGTTACATTCATATCAGAATAGTGAAAAACTTAGAAAAATGGTGCCTTTTATTTAAATACAAGGAATATGTATTTCTGTTGGTGTTTGGTTTTCAGTGTCGTTGTCTTTGTTTCTTTCAGTAAATATCCCTGATGCAGCTTTTATTCAGGCAGCCCGCAGGAAACGTGAATTGGCCAGGACCCAAGATGATTTTATTTCTTTGGATGTAAAACATACCTCTGCCATCACTGGGATGAAGAAAAACAGTGATGAAGATACTGAGAGTGAGCCTGATGACCATGAAAAGAGAATACCATTTACCCTAAAGCCTCAAACACTTAGACAGAGGATGGCTGATGAAACAAGTACATACTTAATTTATTTGCAATGTACGAACATTAAGGGATTTTTCACTAGAATATAATATCATAATCAAATCTCCATAAAAACTTAATAAGTTTTTATCTTAAAAGGTATTAGAAGTTGCTTTTTATTTAATACCAATTTAGTCAATGACTTCATAGTCTAAAAGATAAATGTATTAAAATGTTATTACCAAAGATAATGTATAATAATATTATCTGACCTCCACTTGATCTTTTTTGACAGGTTAAAAAATTTGTGCAGTCTTATTTTTGATCTTGAAAACTTTCATTATCACCTTTTTAAAGATTTTTTTAGCAGGGACTTTTTTTAGCATGTACAGAGATTTTAGGCTTCATTATTAAAATCTCCCCTGCTCTAATAAAAAATTTCCTCTACCAATAGTTCTTGAGTCTCAAAGGACTATTTTCACATTTCTCATTTATTTTTTTTTTCCACATTTCTCATTTATAAACAGTAATATGTTTTACCAAGATTTTTGTCACTTCAAATAATATTTTTTCAGAATGAGACTTTTGGTTCCTTACAGCCCAGAAATTATTCTTCAATATTTTGATTCCCAGGTAGAATTTATAATCTCTGGGGGCACCTGGGTGGCTCAGTAGGTTAACCATCTGACTCTTGATTTCTGCTCAGGTCATGGTCTCATGATTCATGAGATCGAGTGCAGAACCCACTTGGGATCCTCTGCCTCTCTCTCTGCCCCTCCCTTGGTCATGTGTGGGCTTTTGCTCTCTCTCAAGATAAATAAGCATTTAAAAAAAAATTTATAATCTCTGTTAAGGAGTACCAATGTTTCATTTTTTCCATGTTTTTTCTCTATATGTGAAACTATAGTGTTCTCAGTGGGACAGTTTGGTGATGAGTACAGATTCCCAGATTCAGGTCTCTGCTTCAGCATATTCCTTAAACAAGTTATTATTAAATTCCTGAGAGGAGTGTCCTCTTTATAAAATAAGGATGATAATAGTGCTTTTTCCCAGAATTATTGTGAAGAATAACTTAACCCATGTAAAGCTGCTAAGCCAGCAGCACATTATAAGCCCCCAAAAAATGTTAGCTGATGCTTTTAGAATGGAAAGATGCTATTCATGAATTTTTTTTTTTCCTAGCACCTAGAAATGAAGAAACAAGTGAAGAAAGTCAGGAAGATGAAAATCAAGATATTTGGGAACAGCAACAGATGAGGAAAGCAGTTAAAATCACAGAGGTAATAATTTTTTATCCCATGTGTATTAATTTTCTAAGGCTGCTATAATTATCACAGACTTGATGGCTTAAAATAGACATTGATTCTGTCACAGTTGTGGAGGCTAGAACTCTTAAAGCAAGGTGTTAGCAGGACTGTGCTCCCTTTGAAGGCCCTAGGGCAAAGAATCTTGTCTTCCAAGTTCTGGTCACTCCAGGTGTTCCTTGCTTTTTGACTGCATAACCCCTCGCTCTGTCTCCTTCACATGGCCGCCTTCTCTGTGCCTCTCTGTGTCTTTTATAAGAACACTTGACATTGGATTTAGGGCCCACTTGAATAATGCAGGATGTTCTCATCTTGAGATGCTTCACTTAATTACAAACACAAAGACCCTTTTTCCAAATACATCATATTGACAGATTCTGGGGGTTAGGACACAGATCTCTCTTTTGCCCACTGTTCAACTCACTTACACTTTATATATCGTGTTCTTTTCCCACTAGATTATAAACAGCTTCCGCATATTATTAGGCCATTTAAGGGGACCATATTTTTTTTATCTTTAATTTTATGGTAACTGCGACATATGGTAGGTGTATAAATGTAAAATTTAAACAAATAAACGTGTTTAAAACAAAACTAATTAAAAAAAACACTGTTCCTGAGCTCAAAAGTCCTAGAAATAAGTAAAAAAAAAAAAAAAAAAAAAAAAATTATTATTCAGTGTTTTATCCCTCTGTGCCTAATGTTGTGAGTCCTCAATAAATATTTGTGCAACTTTAAGCAAATTTTTTTTTTTTTATATTTTTAATGTTTATTTTGAGAGAGAGAAACCGTGTCAGCTGTCGTCACAGAGCCTGACACAGGGCTTGAACCTACGAGCCATGAGATCATGACCTTAGCCAAAGTCAGATGCCTAGTGGACTGAGCCACCAAGGCACCCCAAGTTTTCTAAATCTGATTTCTCATCAATCATAATGATTTAAAACAAAGTGCTTATAAGCTATGTAAATATAAAGGTTATATATATATATATTTTTTTAATTTATTTCTAAGAGAGAGAGATAGCGTGAACAGGGGCGGGTCAGAGAGAGAGGGAGACACAGACTCTGAAACAGGCTCCAGGCTCTGAGCTGGCAGTCAGCACAGAGCCCGACGAGGGGCTCGAACCCACGAACCGCGAGATCATGACCCAAGCGAAAGTCGGACGCTTAACCGACTAAGCCACCCAGGCGCCCCAAAGGTTATATTTTTTAATCTGTAACAAGAATGCTTTGAAGGGGCCTAGGTGGCTCAGTTGGTTAAGCGTCCGACTGTTGATTTCAGCTCCAGTCATGATCTCACTGTCATGAGATCTCACATTGGTCTCCGCACTGGACGTAGAACCTGCTTAAGAACCTTTCTCTCCCTCTGCCCCTCCCCTGCTTGCACAATCACAAGAAACAAAACAAAAAACAGTACTTTGAAAGATGATGTGTTCTTATAAATAAAGTATTGTTAAGACGTCCGTGTTACTGAAACTAAGAAGTTAAGTAAAGGTAAGTGGTTGATTATAACAGTATTTCGAAATCTCTGACCAGAGAAATGATTTAGAGGACTATTTGTATAACTGTAATAGACTTAGATCCCTCTCCCCTTTTTAGTAAATCAATGTAGCAACAGCATGAAGAAAAATAGTTTGAGAAAAAACGTCACAGTCCTTATTCTGCTTAGGTTTGCATAATTCCTTCTTAAGTATTTGTTTAATTATAGTCATAGTATATATCAGAAATTCCTAGACTTCCCATTCATGGAGCCCACAGTGTCCATAATTTTATTCTGGTGCCCCCAGGCCAAAAGAAGTACCAAACAGTTCCACTTATTGAGTAGTTCAAGCCAGAATTTTATACTATTTATGTCCTATTAACTTAGTAGTCTTTGGGAAAAAATAACACTGATAAATTGAAGAAAAAATCTTTGAATTTCATTTTCAAGTAACCACAGTTACTGATGGGATGTGTGCACCTCTTGGGCACCAAATGACAGCTCAGATGTTGGAATCAGATTGCACACTGCCATTCTCATCTCCTTTCCAAATTGATTTTCAGTAGGTACTTGCTTTTTATTACCGCCCCTCAAACTCACCTTCACTAATAAAACTTCATCAGAGGACTGTAGCACAATCTAATGTTGCAGCTGTGAACTAGTTAAAACTAGTACTTCAATAAATGATGAATGTGTATTCCCTTAAAATACTACTATTTAAAGAGTGTATTTTTTTTTTAATTTTTTAATGTTTTATTTATTTCTAGGAGAGAGAGAGAGACAGCTTGAGCAGGGGAGGGTCAGAGAGAGAGGGAGTCACAGACTCTGAAACAGGCTCCAGCATCTGAGCTGGCAGTCAGCACAGAGCCCGATGCAGGGCTCGAACCCACGAACCGCGAGATCATGACCTAAGCGAAAGTCGGACACTTAACCGACTAAGCCACCCAGGCGCCCCTTAAAGAGTATATTTAAAATACTTCTCAGCATCCCTTTGAGTTCACTTGAATGCCTTGGCATGTAGCTTGGGAACAATAATATGCATACAATTTCAAATTCTGGTTTGTTTGTTTGACACGTTATAAATATTTTCCCATGTTTCTATTACATAGTTATAATCGTAACTAATTATAAAATTGCATAATATTGGGGCAGCCAGGTAGCTCATTTGGGTGAGGGTCCAATTCTTGATTTCAGCTCGGGTCATGATCCCAGGGGCAAGGGATGGAGCCTGACGTCAGACTCCTCACTGAGCATGGAGCCTGCTTAAGATTCCCTTTCTTTCTCCCTCTGCCCCACTCCCTGCTTGTGCACATTCTCTTTTCTCTTTAAAATAAAAAAATAATAACCAGGAAGCAAGCTTTTGTGAAAAGTAAGGTTTTGTAATTTTCCACTTGCATGCAGATTTAAAGTTCCATGTTTTAAAACTGAGAATTTTACTGTAACTATGAAAAATGTCAAAGGCATGGAATTTTGAGCTGATGAGACATTGGAATACCCAGTCTCCTTTCATGCTGTTGATATTTGTAAGATTAATGAGTCTTCTAAAACAATACAAATTTTCATAATTTTAGGGACGAGACCTAGATCTTTCCTACAGCACTGAATCTCAAACAGTGAAGAAGTTTGATACTTCCATTTCATTTCCACCAGTAAATTTAGAAATTATAAAGAAGCAATTAAATACTAGGTAAGTGGAATTGATTTTAAAATAATTTGTCCAGACATTTAATAGTGAAAAAAGCACTATGTTCTTTTTAATTCTTAAGTACAAATACTAATAATAAACAGATTTATAGTAAAAAATAGCAATGCCTATGTTACCACACTAGCACAACTGATTTTCTTTCTGTATAGGTCTTTTTAATCTTTTAATAGATACATACTACATGGTTGAAATCCATATATATCAAATTCTTGTTTTAATATTTTTATAAGCTTTTATCTGCATTGTTAAACAACCTTTAATTTTTAAAAATAATAAGTTGGGAGTGATGGCAAGATGCCATAGTAGGAAACCCCATACCTCATTTCCTCCTAGGATACCAACTTAATATACAGTCCAAGAAGCCTTTATGAGAACTCCAGAAACCAGTTCAGAAAGTTGCATTATGCCAAGCAAGCTCAAAGCCAAGAAGAGCCACATTGTAATGGGTAAGAAAAGCCATTTCATTTCAATTGCATCAGCCACTCTTTCAAGTCCACACTGCTTGTGAGAGACCAAAAAAGCCTAACTCACAACTTCTCCATTGAGAAGGAAAAAGAAGAGTGGAACATATATGTAATGTTTAAGCTTTTGGAGGGACCGTCTAAGGGACTGTTTCCTGCCTTGTCTATCTCAGCATCCTGAACTGTCATACCTTGAATACCTGGGGGCCACAGAAAACAAAAGAGCTCAGTTGCTACAGAGCCAGAAGCCTTAGAGAACTTCAGACAAACACCAAAGGGAGCAAGACACTATGAACACTTAAACCCACAAATTCTGTAATAGGGAAATTTCATATAGAAGCCCAGAGAAGATCTGTCCCCCATAAAAGATTTCAGAAGACCTCCCCCTGCCCTCCACATCTCTAGCCAGGCTGATTGGTGATGTTCTTCCACTACTAGAAGCTATTTCCCTCAAGTGAATTTTCAAGTGTAGACGACAACAGCTAGAAATAACTAGAAATAAAGAGAAACAGGGAAACCTGACACAACCAAAGGAGCAAAATAAATCTTTAGAACCAATTCTGAAGAAATAGAGATCTATGAATTACTTGGCAAACAATTCAGAATTATCTACTTCTAGAAGCTGAATGTGCTATAAGAGAACACACACGACAAAATCAGGGAAACAGTACATGAACAAAGTGAGAAAATCAACAAAGCAAAACGGTTAAACAAAAAACATTCTGTAGCTAAACAATACAGTAAATGATTTGAAAATTTCACTAGAGGGGATCAACAACCTACTAGATCAAGCAGAAGAAAGAAGCAGTGACGTCAAAGACCACTGGTTTAAAATTACAAGTCAGGAACAGAAAGAAAGAAAAGTGAAGAAAACCTAAGGGGCTTAACAGGACACATTAAGCAGAACAATATACATGTTACGGAAGTCCGGGGAGAAGAAGAGTACGGTAGGAGCTCATCCAGAGATCAAATGACCAATGACCAAAAACTTAATCTGAGAAAGGAAGTAGACATCTAGTTTCAAGCTCAGAAGATTAGAAGAAGGATAAACCCAGAGAAGCTCACACTGAGACACAATCAAATTTTCAAAGGCAGAAAGAATTTTGAAAGCAGTGAGACAAGGACCTTCTCCCGTAATAGGGAGCCCCACAAGATTATCAGTAGATTTCTCAACAGAAGCGTTATAGGCCAGAAGAACTGGGATGTTATATACAAAGTGCTGAAAGAAACTCCCAGCCAAGACTGTTATAACCAGTAAAATTGTCCTTAAAAAATGAAGGAAAAATAAAGACCTCAAATAAAAGCTGAGGGAGTCCATCACCATTAGAATTGCCTTACAAAAATTGCTATTAAACGTTCATGAAGGGGCTCCTGGGCAGCTCCTTCGGTTAAAAGCTGACTTCAGCTCAGGTCATGATCTTGCATTTGGGGGTTCAAGCCCCACGTCAGGCTCTGTGCTGGCAATTCAGAGCCTGGACCCTGCTTCAGATTCTGTGCCTCCCTCTTTCTCTGCCTCTCCCCTGCTTGTGCACATGCACGCGTGCACGCTCTCTCTCTCTCTCTCAAAAATAAACATTGAAAATTGTTTTAAAAAGAAAGTCCTTCAGGATGTGACCAAAAGGGCTGCCTTCAGACACTGTCCTAGTGAACACCCAGTCCAACCCCAGCCGTGGGGCACTGCTAGAGCAGCGAGAACGAGTACTTGAGACCAGGATCGAGGAGCGGATGCTGCTGCTTGACCTTAGCAGCCCCCTTACCAAAGCCTTCAATGGACCTGAGCCCACCTACCACAGCCTGTCTTCCACTCACATAGATGAACAGGCCTGGCTCTCCCCCATCCTTGCTAAGGCAGCCAGCAGCATCATTGACCTGTCTGCTGCAGATGGCCAAGGCGTGAAGCAGCACGAGTACATGGGCCGGGAAGGGAGTACACATGCACTTGGCTGTGCCGAGAGCCTGACCCACTGGAAGAAGCTGCTGCCACTGCCGTCTCTGACCAGCCAGTCCCATCAGGTGCTGGCCAGCGAGCCCATCCCCTTCTCTGACTTGTAGCAGGTGTCCAGGATAGCTGCTTATGCCTACAGTGCACTTTCTCAGATCCAAGCAGATGCAAAAGTGAGCTGATTGTTCACTTTGGGATCCCATGAAGAGAGAGATTCTTGGACTGCTCTTGTCTTTTCACCTGTCTCTACCTTGCCTCCCTTTGGCCCCTAGCCTCACTATAGTTCAAACGGTACCCTAACCTGCTACTAATCACAGAAGAGTATGGAGGAGGAGGAGAGTGAAGCTGGAAGTCTGAGCAAGTGAGGATGGGGCAAGGGAGGGTAGAACCATTTGGGACTGGCATTCAAAGCCCTGGCCAGGGATGGGTGGGGGTTAAAAGGTTAGGACTTAGTAGGCCTTCGCTGTCACTGGGAAGGTAGAGGTACCACTGTGAGGTGATCCCTAGGGGGACAATGGGAACCCCCTTCCCCCCCTTTCTCTTGGCCCTACTCCCTTCCCCCTCTTCCTGACTTGGTACTTATATGCACCTCAATACAGTTTGTGACCAGGGTCTGGACCAGCTTGAATTTGAATTAATTGAGTTTGTATTTCTAGCACCTTGGATTTTTACATGTTTGGGTTCTGGTTTGGTGTGTCACCCCGGGTAAAGAAAGTGTACTTAAAAAAAAGTCCTTCAAGTTCAAATGGAAGGTGGCCAGCCAGTAGCGTGAAGCATATGAAATTTAAGACTGTCTGGGGTGCCTCACTAGCTTGGTCAATAGGGCGTACAACTCTTGATCTCAGGGTTGTGAGTTCAAGCCCCACACTTGGTGTAGAGTTTTCTTAATAAAAAACTTGACATAAATTTGGCTTAAAATATATATAAAGCCGTCTGGTAAGGATTAAGAATGTAAACAAATAGAGAATCATATAGTATTCTAAAGGTGATGTAAAAATCACTACAGTTCAAGTATAGAATTTAAAAGATAAACACAAACTGTAACATTGTTAATGAATAAAAATTTTTTTAATGTAATATGGGACTTCAGTAACAAGTGGAGGAAATAAGGAATAGAGTTCTTGTATGTGATTGAAGTTATCAGCTTAAAATCAGTTATTAGAACTATAACTTTTTTTATAATCCCAGTGGTAAACAGACACACAAACGTATAGAAGATGAACAAAAGAAAGTGAGAAAAGACTGAAGGTATGTCACTACAAAAATCAGAACACTAAGGTAGCAAGAGCAGAAAAGGCACAAAATAACTACAAGACATTATTATCTTTGTTCCAGGGAAGAAGACATTTGTTCTTTAAGGGGGAAAGAAAAAGATGACATTTGATCTAAGCAGGTGCTTAACTAATGACTTTTATTATATACAGCAAGTTAGCTGGAGGATTTGAATTTTTTAAAGAAAGTTGAAGTCCACATACTGTGAATTTATTACTTCATTTGTAGTTAATTCTCAAATTTTAATATACTCACAGTGTCGGATATTAGTGAAAAACATATTCCAGATATTTTTAAAGAAATGGTTTTCTTATTCCTCTACTGGCACATATATGGAGAGATAAATGACTTTTAAAAAAGCAGACGTTGAATTATATTTGACACTTGTTTCATGCTACATTAGTTGATACACGTGACACTCATAAGAGTTAAAAAAAAAAAGTGGACTGTCTTATCAATAAGAGCAGTGTACGGGGGACTACAGCAAATATAGGAAACATGCCTCAAACAACATCAAATTCTAATGACACATAAAACCATTGAGTCACAAAACATTAAATTATACCAAATCATAACATGCTCACATGGTTTTAATACCAGCTTATTCACAAAAATACCCATATTCCAAGAAAGACCACAAAGTGATTTAACAGTTACTCCCCATGGACTCCTGTATTTCATATATAAGACCTTGGAATGTCTAGCAACTCAACTCACCTAGTTTACAAATTCTGATCAATCCACACTTAATTAACTTTGACTCTAAAATTATCCTCGGATTAGCTCAAGCACATAAAAACCTGTAAGTGTCCTTTCCTCCCATTTCCTTTGAGACCTCTTTCATTGTGGTGGTCTCCTTTGCTCAGCAAGTCTCATAAACCCAGGTTTATATAATTGTCCGTTTCTTTGTTGGTTTCTGTAAGGTAGCTTTAAAAAAATCTCTTTAGACTGATAGTTACTGTAGTAGAAATAGAAGTTGGAGAAACACAGTTTTCATTTATTTTTCTTTTGTTTATTTAGATTAACATTGCTACAGGATACTCACCGCTTACACTTGAGGGAATATGAAAAATATATACAAGATATCAAGAGCTCGAAGAATACCATCCAGAACCTAGAGAATTCATCAAATCAAGCTCTAAATTTTAAATTCTATAAAAGCATGAAAGTTTATGTGGAAAATTTAATTGACTGTCTTAATGAAAAGGTACATAAGGTTATAAATACAGTATTTCCTGTTTATAAAGTAATCCCCTTACCATGAGATATTTTTTTAAAGTCTGAATCCCACAACTACTTTCTTTAGGGTTTTCCTACACATATTTGACATGCTGTGATATTAAGTGTACCCTTAATATTAAGTTTTTTTGCAATTATTTTGGTATTGTAAATAACAAGAGTTAAATTTTTGTGTTAAAATTCTGTTTAAAAAAATTCTTAGTGAATTATTAAGTCAGAGTTTCTAAATATCTTTTAAGGCTTATGAATCTTTGCTAAATTATTTGAATACCAGAGAGATTACATCAGTTTTATTTTCAGCTTCATTTTATATTTTTTTTTAATTTTTTTAAATGTTTTTTATTTATTTTTGAGAGAGAGACAGTGTGAGCGAGGAGGATCAGAGAGAGAGGGAGATAACAGAATCCGAAGACGGACTCCAGGCTCTGAGCTGTCAGCACAGAGCCCAATGCAGGGCTCAAACGCACGAACCATGAGATCATGACCTAAGCCGAAGTTGAACGCTTAACTGACTGAGCCACCCAGGCACCCCAGCTTACTTCATTTTAAAACACAATTTTTGCAGGGGTACCTGGGTGGCTCAGTCAGTTAAGCATCCGACTTCAGCTCAGGTCATGGTCTCACCGGTTCATGAGTTTGAGCTCTGCATTGGGCTTTCTGCTGTCAGCACAGCCTGCTTAGAATCCTCTGTGTGTCTGTCCGTCTCTGTCGCGCACGTGCGTGCGCGCTGTCTCTCTCTCTCTCTCTCTGCCCTCCACCCTTACTTGCGCTATCTCTCAAAAATAACATTAAAATTTTTTTTTATAAATAATGGTTTTTGTACATATTTATTTTGATCTCAAAACCTTTATTTTATTAACACATGTAGTCTGTGATGTGTCTTATTTGCCTTGTTATCTTTTCAGTTCATAGTCGCAATTTTCCTTTTTCCTTTTCTTTTTTTCCTTATATGGTGAAAATTCTTTACTACTGCTTAAAGTTTTTAATGCTACTTGATGTAGGTAAACTTTCCATTTTGTCTTCTGATTTTGTTTACAGTGTTTTCTTTGACATTTTTGTGTTAATCAGATTTATAAATCATTCTTTCCCGTTATAAGTTCTGTTTTTGTTTTATACATACTAAGCCCTTACATTTGACTTTTTTTTTTTTTTTTTTAAGCATACCATTTAAGGGGTGCCTGGGTGGCTTAGTTGGTTAAGCGTCCAACTTTCGCTTAGGTCATGATCTCACGGTTCGTGGGTTCGAGCCCCGCGTCGGGCTCTGTGCTGACTGCCAGCTCAGAGCCTGGAGCCTGTTTCAGTCTGTGACTCCCTCTCTCTCTGACCCTCCCCTGCTCACGCTGTCTCTCTCTCTCTCTCTCTCTCTCCTAGAAATAAATAAAAATATTTAAAAAAAAAAAAAAAAGCATACCATTTAAAAAAATACACTACTTCATTGCTTTTTATTTACATTTTTAAAACTACCAAACAATTGCGTTTTTTTTCTCTCCAGTTGTTTCAAGTTTTACTTTTACTGTCACTTGGTAGTTACTTTCTGAAGTATTTATTGCAATACAGCTTTCTTCATCGATCCTTGAAGAATTAAACTGTTAAAGTCTCATTGGCATACACATTGATGTACCCAAGGCAGCTGCTTTGGAAACATCATTGGAGTTGGGGAGAATTATTGCCCAAGAAACATCAGAATGTCGATTTTAACTAATCATTCGTTTTTGCTTCATAGCTTTCTTACCTGTCTGGTTAAGTCTCTTCTATTCTCCCCTTTTTTTCAGATTTATCAGTTTCCTCAAGTGCCCTCACACAGTCTACCCCCTAGGCTTCTAAAAAATATCTGTACCCTTCCTAATATCTGAAATAAAAAAGAATCCTATTTGGGGGGTGCGTGGGTGGCTCAGTTGAGCATCTGACTCTTGATTTCAGCTCAGTCATAATCTCACGGTTCGTGAGTTAAAGCCCCACATCGAGCTCTGACAGTGCACAGTTTACTTGGGATTCTCTCTCTCTCCCTCTCTGCCCCTCTCCCACTCACACGTGTGCTTTCTCTCAAATTACAAAAAAATCCTAATACTTATCTTTTCACTCCTATCCATGTTCCTGACCCCAGCCCATTTGCTTTCATTATTTATGATATTTATAGCTGTTTTAGTACAGTTAGTCGATTATCAGTTTTAAAGTATTGGCAGCCACATCTGTATCTCACAATATTTTTTTAATTAAAATGTGGTAGTACTGAAAATGTTCCTTTTATAGGAGTAGTGAGCACGTACGTATGCTTATCTAAGTATTACTTTTTATGATTATTGATCTACAAAATGTTACTTATATGTGTATTTCAGATTATCAGCATCCAAGAAATAGAGTCATCCATGCATGCACTCCTTTTAAAACAAGCCATGACCTTTATGAAACGCAGGCAAGATGAATTAAAACATGAATCAACGTATTTACAACAGTTATCACGTTAGTGTTTTTCATATTCAATATGACTTATTATTCATTAAGCTGGATTATCAGCTAAAGAATAAAAATATTTTCATTCCTGTTTTAAAATAATGCTTTTTTGTGTATTTTCCCACTAACCTTTCACCTACCCCTTTGCAAAAAACCCAAAATATTTATAACTAGGGCTTCAAAATATCTTGAATTGAGTCAAAGACAAAAAAATAAAAATTATAACTTCTACTCATTTGGTATTTGAGACAGTATGTGCCCATATATTGACTTTGTTGAGATGAGTTGACATAAGTCTGTAGGCTGTGTCAGAAATCTAACTTAAAGATTTCATGGCCAATCCACAGATTAGGTATGGAAGTTAAAGACCTTTTGGTGGGTTTCAGTAGAGAATCATCTGTAAGATCTCAAATAAGATTTGGATGCTGCCTTTTAGTTCCCACACTGGTTTTGTATTTTCAAAGATGCCTTCCTTTGATTAAGGTGCTTTTGGAGAATAGTGAAAGAGATAAGATCATAACCAAGTAGCTGGTTAAAGCAAAATGACTTTCAGACACATGACTTGTAGTTAGTTATAAATTATGGTACAGGTTAAGAAACAATATGAATAACTTATTGGTAATGCAAATATTTTTAGTAATTCAGGGATAGAAAAAAAATGGGTGAAAACAACTGAAAAAGAATACAAGAAAAAGAAACATTGTAGAATTTTATTACTGTTCTCAAGTGCTGAACTATATTCATCAGCCAAGATGTCTTAGGCTAGCAGGCTCAATGCCTATTAATATAGTGATAGGGAGTTAACATTGTAATTTCATTACATGGTGAAGTATGCAATTTAAGCATATTAATTGTGTTTATATATATATTTATATATCTATGTATGTATATATACCCAAAATACAACTTTTGTTTTCAGAATGTTTCATTTTATTTCTTTGAAGAATTTACAGTATGAAATTAATTTTATTTGTTAACAGACAAAGCCGAGACATCAACAAATGGAAGCTTGGCTGTAGATGAAAAAACTCCATGGATTTTGGAAGAGATTGAATCTCGAAGGTAGCTATATAAAGTGAAGACTTAGAGCATCATCGAGCAAGTATTTTTCACTACTTTAGTTAGCCCATATAGTATAATAACCATAACTGAACATTAATTTGTGAGAATGAGATAAAACCAAAATTTAAACAGTTCTTACCCCTAGGGTTTAAAGACACACTGGTATATTGGATCAGTCAAAAGGAATGGGTAAGATGGCATTTATCAGTCTGGGAATTACCTATAACTAGAAGCCGGTTATTATTGTTCCCCCCCTCTTTAAAATCTGAGTAGCCAGAAAAACAGGGAGAACCACCAATTCAGATAATGAAGCTAAAATGCCAGAAGTAATAACAAAATTGTGTGCTAATAATAAGATGGTACATGTTCTGGACATTTTAATTAAATGATGACTCCTAGTTTTTGTTTTAAAGCATTTCTTTTCAGCAGGAACTGTTTGTTTTGTTTAGGAACTGTTTTAATTTGTTTTTGGTTTATTGCAAAACACAGGTCACAAAGAAGACAAGCAAGGGCACTTTCTGGGAATTGTGATCATCAGGAAGGGACATCTAGTGATGATGAACTGTCTTCAGCAGACATGATTGACTTCCAGAAAATCCACGGTCAGTTACCGGGTTTCTAATATGTCTTAATTTGAAATATTGAAATGGTAGGAAATGCTTTGCTGTGATTCTCCTTAAATATAGTTAGGGAAATTCAAGAAAAAAGGAACACATTTTTTTCCCCTTTAAGACTTCCTGGGGTGCCTGGCTGGCTCAGTCCATAGAGTCTGTGATTCATGATCTTGGAGTTGTGCATTCAAGTGCCACATTGGGGGTAGAATTTACTTTTAAAAAAAAAAGAAAAAAGAAGGACTTTTCCTGCTTTTGAAAAAATGGGATAAAATGGAGGAACATTGTGAGTTTTCTGCATCTTTATTGTTTTTTCTCTCAACTTTTCTCATTTTTAATAAAGGAACCATGAACATTTTGGTTTCATTTCTCTACTGCATACTTTCTATATTACCATTTTTAATTGAAAACAATTAAATTTAGGAGTGCCTGGCTGGCTCAGTTGGTAAAGCATGCAATTCTTGATCTCATGATTATGAGTTGGAGCCCCACATTGAGAGTAAGGTTACTTAAAAATAAAGTCTTTTGAAAATAAACACTTAAATTTAGTAACATTATTTTAGTGATATATAAGTAAAATATTGCATAATTGAAAGAATGTGGGCTTTACAGGGGCACCTGAGTGGCTTAGTTAAGTGTCTGACTTTGGCTCAGGTCATGATCTCACAGGAGCCCCACGTCGGGCTCTGTACTGACAGCTTGGAACTTGAAGCCTGGAGCCTGCTTTGGATTTTGTCTCTCTCTTTCTCTCTCTCTCTCTGCCCCTCCCCCTTCCTCGCTCTGTCTCTCAAAAATAATAAGTAAACGTTAAAAAAGTTTTAAAAAGAAAGAAGGTGGGCTTTACAGTCAAACAGATGGGTTTGAAGACTGTCTATTTTGTGTGATCTTAGATCCATTAACCCTCCTGAATTTCATGTTTGCTTGTTTCTTGTCTGTAAATAGATAGTCACACCTACGTTGTACAGAAGATCAATAAGTGGTGGATTTTGTTAGTGTCAATATTGCTATTAAAGTGATTTTTTTTTAATAAAACCTAATTTATATGTAAATATCGAAAGGGAAGTTTTCAGCTCTATTAAGTTCATAGTTATACATGTTTATAGGAAGCGAAGTTCACAAACTTAAAATGCGTAATATACAGAGATTCATTTTGTTTACAGATGAAATTTTACAAGATCATAAGAAGATTTTTGAAGATGTACATGATGATTTTTGTAATATCCAAAATATTTTGTTGAAATTTCAACAATGGCGAGAAAAGTTTCCTGATTCTTATTATGAAGCTTTCATTAGTTTATGCATACCGAAGCTTTTAAACCCCCTAATCCGACTTCACTTGATTGATTGGAATCCTCTTAAGGTATTTAAGCTTAATATGTAAAAGAAATATTTCTGTCCTGTTCATTACTGAAGTGCCCTTGTTATCAGGTTAGCTTTAGTGTATACAGAGTTGGAATTAATAATTGGTGCTTTGGGGTAGTAACCTGCATTCATCTTTTCTTGGTTCTTCCTTTATTTTTAAGGCTGAATAGCACTAAACATCTATCAAGGAAACACTTTTTTATTGTTTTTTTTTTTTTTTACCTTCTATGATAAGTTCAAAGTCCATTTTAAATCATTTAAAAGTGTGAAGGTGGCATTAGCTTTTAAGAATTTTAGTCTGTTTGACATAGGTACCAAGAGTTCTGAAGTTGGAGATACTGTATTGGGACTATTTGGTTTGGAAAGCTACACTGAAGAGGGGGGGTTTAAATGAGAATTTAAAGGATATATGATTTAAAATGGGAAAAAAAGGAGAACTTTTTTTGTAAAGGTGCATAAGGAAAAAGCCTAGTTCAGGAGCTAGAGGCTGCATAGAGGTTCAAATCCTAAATTAAAAGATAGGAACTTATTTTGGTAAATAATTGGAAGAGTGGCCTTATGGAAGTAATGTTTTAAGAAGCCCTAGCAGCTGGGTAACTTGGAGGAAAGGAAGAGATGAAGATAATACTTGAAGGCTATTACTGTAGTCCAGGTCCAAGGTAGTGAATCCCTTACATAAGTGATAGTGGTAAAGGGAAGAAAAAGAAAAGGTTGATTACAGGAAGTTTTATTAATTAAGAATCAGTAAAAAGCTTCTGCACAGTGATGGAAACAAAAAAAACTAAAAGCAGCCCCCTGAATAGGGGGAAATATTTGCAAATGACATATCCAATAAAGAATTAGTATCCAAAATTTATGAAGAACTTATACAGTTCAACACTCCCCCCCCCATAAAAATCCAGTTAACAATTAGGCAGAAGACATGAATAGACATTTCTCCAAAAAGACAGCCACATGGCTAACAGACACATGAAAAGAGCTCAACATAATTCATCATTAGGGAAATGCAAATCGAAACCACAGTGAGATATCACCTCACATCTGTCAGAATGGCTACAATCAAAAACACAAGAAACAAGTGATGGTGAAGATGTGGGGAAAAAGGAGTCTTCATGCACTGTTAATGGAAATGCAAGCTGGTGCAGCCACTATGGAAAATGGTATGGAAGTTCCTCAAAATGTTAAAAATAGAACTACCCTCTGATCTAGTAGTCACACTACTGGGTATTTACCCCCCAAAATGTTAAAACATTCATACGTGCACCCCTATGTATATAGTAGCATTATTTACAGTTGCCACAATATGGAAGCAGCCTAAGTGTCCATGGACTGATGAAAGGATAAAGAAGATGTGGGGTGTGTATCTATGTACACAATGGAATATTACGTGACCATAAAAAAGAATGAAACCTTGTCATCTCTAATAACACAGATGGAGCTAGAGAGTATAATGCCAAGTGAATAAGTCAGAAATACCATATGACTTCACTCAGATGTGGAGTTTAAGAAATAAATGAGCAAAGGAAAAAGAGACCAATCAAGAAACATACTCTTAACCGTGGAGAACAAACTGATGATTACCAGAAGGGAAGGAGCTAAGGAGATGGCTGAAGTAGGCGATGAGAATTAAGGAGTGCACTTGTGATGAGTGCTGAGAGGTATATGGAACTGTGGAGTTCACTGTACTGTACACCAGACACTAATAAAACTTTTAACTATATTGGTATTAAAATTAAAGAATTAGTAAGATACTGAGGTAACCCTAACACACCACACTGAAAGGTGACCCCAGTGTTCTGATTCTGGGTTATTAGAATAGTGGTAGTTCCATTCATAGAAATGGGAACTTTGCAGAGAGAAGAAGATGTCGAAGGAAGTTTTACTTTATACCTGGATGCTGAAATGATAGTGGAACATCCATGTGCATGTGCCTAGTAATAAAATGGAAATGAGAAAACCAAGTTGTAAGAATAGAGGAAACCAGATAAAAATTTAACCAAGTGAAGGAGACATAGCCATGTCCTTTTATCTTTCTCTGCCCCAGTCATGCGTGCCTGTTGCTCTGTTTTGGGTTCAGGGCCAGGCAGTCCTAGTACAGAAACTGAGCTTATCTCTAAGAAAATGGTAAGTAGTTTGTTGTACAGGAGCCTCATTGTTAAGCATTCAGGCTGAATTGAGTATCCTGTTACACCTAGCAGAGATCTGTTCATTCAACAAATAATAACTGGCCATCTGCTACTTGCCTCGTAACCTAAACCACCTGTAAATACACATTTGTGTCTATGAGAATTGACGGAACCAAAAGTGAATTTTTATAAACAAATTCCATATTAAGTGATATTCTTACAAGTGTATATTTTCATTAGTAAAATGTAGGTTCTGAATATGGCATGTTTGGCATATTTGTCATGAATGATACATGGAATGTAGTTTTTTGTCATTATTGAGACATCATGTCTGGTCATGCCATCCTGTCTCTGCTTGGTCTAGTACTTTATATAAGGGGTTAAAATATGGAATTACTCTTTTTGTTTTTATTCTCAGAAAAGCTCTAGTGATTACTGAAAAGTTAACTTAAAAACAAACTATTAAAAAATAATTTGTTTATAAGTTTGATGCTGTAGGCTTAAAACAGATGCCATGGTTCACATCTATAGAAGAATATGTGGCTACCAGTTTGGAAGATTCAAAGAAGGAAGATGGTTCTGATAAAATCTTGTCTGGTGTCATCAACAAAACCGTTATTCCTCGACTTACAGGTACTGCTTTGTAATCTTGATAAAACTAAATTGTACTCTGGCAGAGTCTGAGATCATTAATATCTGTTGCAGTCACAGATATCTTTATCAGAAGTTTTCAAATACAAGGAAATGTAATATGCATTAAAAATCAAGAGATGTCATAATTGAAGGTGATTAAAAGCACTTGTTTGCACGATTGGCTACCAGACTGCTGGTATTCTTCAGCTTTTAGCATTTGTGAGATTAGTTGTTGCTTTTATTACACCTAAGTCATTTATTAGGGGCATACTTTGATTTCAACTGTATGTATTCTTTTCTCTCAACTTCTTCCCCTTGTTATGTGTTTTTTAATGTTTATTTTTGAGAGAGCGAGACAGAGCATGAACAAGGGAGGGGCAGAAAGAGAGGAAGACTCAGATTCTGAAGCAGGCTCCATGCTCTGAGCTATTAGCACAGAGCCTTACACCTGACTCAAACTCACGAACCACGAGATCGTGACCTGAGCCATAGCTGAACACTTAACCACCTGAGCCACCCAGGTGCCCCATGTTACTCTTTCTTTAAAAAAACATTACTACATCTTCCTCACATCTGCACTTACCATTGATGCATGTGCTTCAGTCTGAAGCTTTGTTTTATCTAAAATTGTACTTGATAAAGATCTGTTTCACCATGGCACTGAGCATGGATTTTGATAGCAGTCTGTAGAACTGTCTTAAATGATGAAGCAACCACTTACATTGCTTCTTAGCCAGTTTGGCTAAAACTTTTAAGATTTTTCTCAGCCTATCTTGTACAGTCATGGTTGTATTAGTAAGCTACTAATTTTACCTAGCCCTCTTAATGATAGTGCAGTATATGTAGGACTGATTTAAGTACTCTTCTGAAAACTCCAGATACTTAAAATTAAACTTGAAATAAGTAGAATGAGAAATTAATACTGTATATTCTCAAGTTCTGTCCTAGATGCCCTTGTACTCTTCATGAGCCCTCTAAGCTATTTCATGCTCTCCTTTAGTGTCATCTGTATTTGTGTTGTTCAGTGTGGTAACCAGTAACTAAATGTGATTATTAACATACACATTTTGACAAAATAAAATTCAGTTCCTCAGTCACACCAATGACACTAAATTCTTAATAGTCCTATGTAGCTCATGGCCATCAGTGCGGATATAATGTGTTTTTTCCATCATTTAGAAAGTTACTTTGGATAGTACTACTCTACACAATTTTAAGTCTAAAGGAACTAGAGAAAGTCTGCATCTTTCTTATCAAAGGACCTTCTGAATACATCCACTTGTATGTCCAACAGGCACTCTTTCCCACTCATGCACATTCTCCCTCTAAAATAAAAAATAAATAAAATAGATTGGCCAATTCCAAAAGGAAAAAGTGGGCCATATGAATATCTGAGGAAACAGAATCCAAGGCAGTGGAAACAGCAAATGCAAAGGCCCTGAGATAGGAGCCAGCCTAGTTGGATTGAAAAACAGTACATGGGCCAGTGTAGCTATACTGGAGTGAGGAAGGGTGGAGAGCAGAAAGAGGTTAACAAGATAACATGAGCTACGTTATATAAGTCCTTATAATCATTTGTAAGGACTTCATTTTTTTGTAAGTGAAAAGTAATTGGAGAGGTGTTTTCCTAAGTTTATTTATTTTGAGTGAGAGAGAACAAGTAGGGAGGAGCAGAGAGAGAAACATGGACAGAGAATCTGAAGTGGGCTCTCTGCTGTCAGCACAGAGAGTTGAATGCTGGGCGTGAACTCATAAACCACAAGATCATGATTTGAGCTGAAGTCAGTTGCCACCCAGGTGCCCAAAGAGTTTTGAATGGAGAAATGGCACTGTCTGCCTAACATTTTAACAGAATCACTGTGGTTACTGTGTTGAAAATGAACAGTAGGCCGACCACTTAGGAAGCTTTTGCAGTAATGAAGCAACAGGTCATACTGGCTTGGGCTAGGAGTTTGTTAAAAGTGAAGGTGCTGAAAAGTAGTCGAGTTCAGCATACATTTCAAAGATAACACTAAGAGAATTTGAGAATGGATTGGTTGTGTGCACAAGAGAGGAATCAAGAGTCACTGCATGAGTTTGGGCCTGAGCATTTGGAAGGACAGAGTTGCCATTTCCTGAGATGGAAAAGAGGAAAAGGAGCTTTAGGATAAGGTGGTGGTATCAGGAGCTCAGTTTGACAAATGCTGAGTTTGTGATGCCTACCATCCAAGTAGAGGTGTCAACTAGCTTGTTGAATATATGAGTATAAAGGAGAGGTCCAAGTAGCAGACGTAATTTTGGAATATATCAGCACATGGATGACATTGAAAGCTTGACCTTAAATACTAAGGGTATAAACATAAATGGGAAAGAGAAGGTAAGTGAGCTGAGTCCTGAGGTACTGCAGCGTTTTTGAAATCAAAAGAAATGACAGACAGCCAGCAAAGAAGACCAGAGAGGGAGGTGTGAAATCCGGAGTGGTATCCTGGATGCCAAGAAAAAAAATGTTTGGTGGCGCCTGGGTGGCTCAGATCATGAGCTCGTGGGTCGTGGATCCAAGCCCTGTATCAGGCTCTGCTCTGACAGTGCAGAGTCTGCTTGAGATCCTCTTTCTCTCTACCCCTCCTGCACTTGCTCTCTCTCTGTCTCTCTCTCACTCTGTCTCACTCTCTCTTGCTCTGTCTCTCTCTCTCTCTCTCTCTCAAATAAGTAAAACTTTTTTAAAAAAATGTTTGTAAAGGGAATGATCAGCTGTTGCAGATAAATCAGATGGGGACTAGAATCAACCTTTAGGTTTTGCAATGTGAAGGTCACGTTTGATGGTAAGAGTAGTTTAGGTGGAATGGTTGGAGATTAGGCCTATTGAAGTGTGTTTAAGAGTTTATAGGAGGAGAGAAATTGGAAATAGATAAGCTTAGAGAGTTTTTTGGAGAATTTTGTTGTAAAATGAAGGAAAGAAATAAGGCAATACTAGAGGGGAAAGAAGGGTCAAGGAAGACTATTTTTAGTATAAGAGAATAATTGTAGGCTGAGGGGAAAGATCCAGTAGAAGTGATGACAGTACTGAAGTTAAGAGGGCAAAATTCTGGGGGCGCCTGGGTGGCTCAGTCAGTTAAACATCTGACTTCAGCCCAGGTCGTGATCTCAAAGTTTGTGAATTCGAGCCCTGCATCAGGCTCTGTCAGGCTGACAGCACAGAGCCTAGAGCCTGGAGCCCACTTTGAGTACTGTGTCTCCTTTCCTCTCTCTGCCCCTCCCTCCCTCTCCCTCTCTCTCGCTCTCGCTCTCGCTCTCGCTCTCAAAAATAAATATTTTAAAAAATTTTAAATAAATAAAGAGGGCAGAATTCTGGGAACAGAATCTTCCATAAGCCAAAGGGGTTGAGACCTTTGCACAAATAAAAGATTGGCCTTAGCAAGCAGCGTGGGTACTTCATCTGTGAGAATGGAAGACAAGAATATGTGGGCACAGATGCAGGTAGGTGTGTAGTCTTTCGTAGAACTTCTCTTCTGATTGATCTGTTTTCTCATCAATGAGGAAGTAATCAGCTGAGGGTGAAAGCAACAGGAGAGAAGTAAATAGTCATCTGGAAGAGTCAGGCCCATTAACAGTGAGGAGGAAGGAAAAGACAGGAAATAATCATCTGGATGAGAGGGAGGGGGAATCGGCCAGGAAAACAATGATTGCTAGACAGCTTGAAGGGTTCTCTGGGTTTCACAGTGATAAAATTGAAAGTGTATTTTTTTCCAGCCATGTTTTAGCCACATAGTTGGAGCCACAGATTTAGTGACAAGTGGATTTAACTAGGGTTGTGGTTAAGTGAGATAAGTTGTACAGAGCCCAAAAAGGACAAGGAAATTGAAGATGTATGCAAATACATAATGGTAATGAATGGCATGGATTTTAAATTGCAAGGGAGGGAAGTCTTTTCTAAAAACTTCAGTTGTTTATACATGACAGGCAAAGCAATCTAGGAAATAAATTGTACACTACTGAAACTTTTGTTTCAGACTTTGTAGAATTCATTTGGGATCCCTTGTCGACATCACAGACAACAAGTTTAATAACACACTGCAGAGTGATTCTTGAAGAACTTTCCACTTGTGGAAATGAAGTTAGTAAAGGCAAACAGGTAATCATTTCTAGAGTTATGATCTTCTTGATTGATTTATTTATAGCTTAATGTAATTTTGTTATAAATGTTTGTTTACAGAAGATGCAGAAGAAATTACCAGAAAGCAATTTAGGGAAAGATAGATTTACTTCTGATTAATAGAAACTAGGATTGACCTTTTCTTCTGCTTTGTAATAATAAGATGAAACACTATTCCTTCATATTTGTGAACATTCTAACAGGGATGACAGTCATTATTACAGAATACACATACATGTAATAAGACCCAGATTATTACATTTATTCTAATTAGTTTATTCCTCTCTGTTCAGTGGCCTGATTTTTGTTCTCATGTCCAGCCAGCCATCCTTTAGGTTTGTGAATATACATTGGCACTACAGAGATACGCAGACATAAATGCATGAGTGGAAATTTATTGCTTTTAAAAGAAAAAAGGACTTCTTTGTCTTTGTTCTTTGGGCAAAAATCTAGTAATATTTTGGCTTTGCTTTAATGATTATTTTAAAATTAAGTTAACATTCATGATATTAACTTTATTTGTAGTCTCCCAAAGTTAAGAATAGTAATCCCTTTAAGGATTCAAAGTTCAGTAGGATATGGGTACCTGGTAGGCTCCAGTAGGTAGAGCATGTGAGTTTTGTTGATCCTGGAGTTGTGAGTTCAAGACCCACATTGGGGTGTAGATTGTACTTAAAATATTTTTTTAAAATCCTTAAAAAAGTTCAGCAGTATAGGTTTTCATCTTACCATGATTTAGAATTTAGCTTTACTTAACACATGAAAGGAGGGATCTTTTAGAGGCCTTGATGAGAGTCTGGTAAATCTTTTATTGTGTGACTCTGTTTTTTAGTTATTCTGTTGATGAGAATATCATATACTTGTGCTTACTAAATCAGTAAACCTATTGTATGTTGAGCTTTAAGGAAGCTGAGAGAGACTGACTATCTAGAAAGTATCTAGAGTAGAATAACCAAGGTGGATGAGAAACAAGGAGAGGCATGTCACATTCATATTCTGAACACCATTAAATTTTAGCACTTGGAATTACTATGAAGGAGGGAAGCTGTGAGAAGTAGGAGGGAGAGGAGGGAAGTTAGCATGATTCTGCCTTCAAGAAGCATGTGATCTTAAATAAGATGTACGTAAATTGTTATTTAAAATAGGAAGTGAGGAGCATCTGAGTGGCTCCTGGTTAAGCAAGTGACTCTTGATTTTGGCTCAGGTCATGATCTCGTGGTTTGTGAGTTCAAGCCCTACTTTGGGCTCTGGTCTGATAGTGCAGAGCCTACTTGGGATTCTCTCTCTTTCTCTCTCTGCCCCACCCATTTGCTCTCTCTCTCAAAATAAGTAAACATTAAAAATAAATAGGAAGTGAGAGCTGGGGGAGGAGAAGGAACACTTATTTAATTCCTGCTGTGTACTTGGCACTCTGTTAGGTCTTGTACCTTCATTCTAGCAGCTCTATTCTAGCATCTCAGTTCTGGCAGCTCTGTTAAAAATTGGATGATAGCTTCATTTTACAGGTGAAGAAACTGAATCTCAGAAACTTGTTCCTAGTAATATCTTGAGTTAGAACCAGAATTCGAACCTTGATTAATCTTCTTTTAAGGCTTAAGCCCATGTCACTGACCACGTTACCTTCCCTGAGCAGCCCAGATAAAATGCTGTGAAACTTCATAAGAGAAAGAGGAGATAGAAGTTATGTTCCACCGTGGAAGAATTTATCTTCAAGGTGGCATTGGAACTGGGACCTAGTGGAAAGTAAAGGATTTAAACATAGCAAATGACGGGGAAGAGGGCATTTTTCACCTTCCTCCAACAGGATAAAGACAGATAACATATGAAAATCATTGCAGAAATTAGAGATGCTTAACTTAGAAGAAAATATGCATGAAGATTCTGTATTTGAAGAAGGAATAGATTTATTCTGTGTTGTTACAGAGCATAGAACCAGAATTAGTAGAGAAGGGCTACAAGGAAGTAGATATAGAATCCTATATTTGCTCCTTATATGAAACTATGTAATTATAACCTAAATATAAATAGTGCTTTACCATTTGTTTTTTTAAAAATGTTTATTTTTGAGTGAGAGCATAAGTAGGGGAGGCATAGGGAGGGGCGAGGGAACAGAGGATCCAAAATGAGCTCTGCGCTGACACCAGTGAGCCCTGTGTGGGGCTCTAGCTAACAAACTGTGAGATCACAACCTGAGCTAAAGTCAGACACTCAACTGACTGAGCCACCCATGCACCCCAGTACTTTACCATTTATTAAACACTTTCACATTATCTTATTTGATCTTCACAACCTTGTAAAATGTGTTGACTTTAATTGCATTTTACAGATGGAAGAAGGTAGCCAGAGGGCCATGTCATTTGCAAAAGGTTACTTGGGTGTTAAGCAGTAGGCCTGGCACTTTGCAATTTATACTAACCAAAGTCTTTCAAAAGTGTTACAGATAAACTCATGAAGTTTTTATACCCTTAATTTTTATTCTAGAAGCCCTCCCTCCCACTATGAATGTTGAAAATGGGTTCTTTGTGTGATTAGTAGGACACTGGACTACATCAGGATTTTTCAGCTTCAGCAGCTTTGGCATCTGGAGCAGATAATTATTTGTTGTGGAAGTTGTCCTGTGCATTGTAGCATGCTAGCAGCTTCCCTGGCCTGTACCCGCTAGACGCCAATAGTGCTCCCCAGTCTTAACAACCAAAAACATCTCCAGATATTATAAGATATTCCCTGGGCATGACACAGTCACTCCTAGTTAAGAATCACTGAACCACATAATGTTCCTGGCTACAAAGTCAGTTTGCCTTGCCAGTGAGATCACTGTATCTTTTTCAGTGATGTGTAAGAAATTGAAGAGATGAAAAAGGTTCCTGAAGAATGGAATCATACAGCATAGTTCCTGTTTTTGAAGTAAGAAGCAAATGATTCTGTAACCTAATCCCTGGTGAGAATAGTTTCGATTCTTCTTAAGTTCTAAAGTAGGTGATAGAGGTAGATTATGAACACTTTTTTTTTTTTTAAAAAGCAGTGATCACTGTTAATTGTCATTGGTAGAGTTACTAAATACAGGTGATTGCTTACTGACTCAAATTCTCTTATACTATCTCAGTTACTTTCATGATAAATAAGGTGCTGTGCAGTTAGAGTAGGTAATATATTTAAGTATGCTCTGATCGTTCTTATGGATCAAATGGAGAATGATAAGCATAACAGTGGTATAGTGAGATACAAGAAACTGGTAGAGTATACCTAAAGAATACTGACCAAGAGGGATGTGGCTACTTATGGGGGTGGTCTTTTAGTATGAGATAGCTTCTCAGTATTTACCCTGTTCAATATTTTTATTGAACTGAATGAAGATATAAAATGCATGCTAATAAGATGTGTCAATGGCACAAAGCTAGGAATTCTATCCTAATGGATAGTAGAATAGTATGCAGAAAGATTTCAAATACTGAGAAAATTGACTCAAAATATACAATATGAAGGGAATATACATTATGTACTACCCTTGCATTCAAAAATTCAGCTGCATAAATAAAAGGAAAGAAATAGCTTTGAAGCAACCTAGGTAAACCGGAGAGGAATATATAATAAACAGTAAACCCAATGAGTCCGTAGTGTACAGAAAGACTAAGGGGAATTTTTTTTTTTTTTTTTTTTTTTACTGGGTGTGTGCTATTGTGAGTAAAAATGTTATATGTGTTCTACACACAGATAAGACTTTCCTGGGTATGTTGCATTTAATTCTGTGTGTTAGTATATTAAATGGAGAGTATCTAAGATGGTATGGGAAAGAGAAAATGTAAAAAGTGAGGTATTGGTCTTAGAATCTAAAGAATTGTCATGTGGAAGGGAAATTATATTCTGTATAATCCTAAGAAGTAAATTAGGACCAGTGAGGGAGATACAGGAGAGAAGTTTGTTTCTCATTGTTAACTGAAATCTTATAGTTAATAGCTGGCCAAAGATATGGGTGGCCTCAGGAGATTATGATTACCTGTCATTTAAATGTTTTTAGGCATAGGTTGGTTGACTCGTTAGTGCAAATGTGAAAATGATACCAGCTATGTATTTAGATTGCTAATTTACAGATTTTTTTTAATCAACAGAACTTTTTTTTTCAAATTAGATCTTACTGCTCTTGCTGTAGTGTGTGCCTGCCCACAGTCTCCCTTGAGGGCCTCCACATTTGCCCACACCACCCAGGATTATCTCTGTGACTGTAAAGAGCAGTGTGAAAACAACTAGCTAAAGCTTCTAAGAATCTTTTCAAAGCTCTTTTAGCATATATACACAGGTCTGTGTGTGTGTGTGTGTGGTTTTGTGGTTACTGTTTGGAGGACTTTTTCCCCCCCATGAAATACTTGAAAAGTTAATGAGCTCACTGTTTTTAAAATATATGGATTTGTTTTAAACAGTCTTTTTGGAAATAATATCAAACTTAGAGAAAATTCTCATGAGTAAAAATAGCCTTTACCCGGGTTCACCTATCATTAATATTTTGCCGTTTGCTTTATTATTTGCTGTCCCGTTGTATATATACACATAATGATTTGTTTCTCCTGAACAAATTTGAGAGTAAATTGTGTAATTGCTAAGAATGAAACTAGTCTGTTATATAACCATGGGACACTTAATCATTTTTAGTAAACTTGACTCTACTTCATCTACCATCCATGTTACACTTCCATTGTTTGACTTAATAATGTCCTTTACAGCATTGTTTTACAGAACTATTTTTAAGAAACAAAAATTTAAACAATACGGAGGGGTGCTTGGGTGGCTCAGTTAAGCTTCCAACTCTTGGTCTCAGCTCAGGTCTTGATCTCAAGAGTTGTGAGTTTCAAGCCCAGTGTGGAGTCCACTTAAAAAGAAAACAAACAAAAACAATGTGGAAACATTTGTCAAGCCTAGCATTCAAACACATTTAAATGGAAAAAAAATCAAAGCATAACTTTTCTAGTACAAACACTAACTCGGTAATTTATGTAAGTTCAGATACTACTCCATGGAGACATTGCCTAGAAAAATGGTCTTTATTCTTTTAAAATAATTTTGAATGTTTAAGAATTGGAATATAAAGAATTGAATTTTTGTTTTTAAATATTGATGTGTGGCCGTGGAAGAATAGATCATAGATATTTGGAAAAAGGAACAGGACTTCAATTAAATATGCTTTTTCTGAAAAAAAAAATTTGAATTCTACATTTATGAGTTATTTGGTTAGTGTAGAGTTTATTGACAGCTTAATTTGTGCTACACACATTGTCCCTGAGTTAAAAATAGCCTTTTGTGTGTGGCGTTTTTATTTTTCAAGTATGGATTTCTTTTTAAGAATAGAGATAATATAGAAATTTTGGTAATACATGAAAAAAAATTCAAACTCCCTTTATCTTTTCATCCTATTACAAGAACTTGATACGATTGTAGGGTTTTTCATCCAGCCTTTTACTTCAAAGTTATAATCTTAGTGAATGTGTACATTTGTATCCTACTTCTTTCCCTTAACATTATCTCATTAAATATTAATTTTGGATGTTCCTACAGTCTTTATAAACTTTAGCTAAGATTTTTTTTTGCAGTGGATGGATATAACATGAGGAGGTCCTAAAAAGTCTCTGTGATTGAATATTTTGGTTCCCAATTTTTGATACACAAACAATAAAATAAATGTGCCAAAGTGAGTTTACTACATCAAAGTGCATTGATAAACCAACAGAGGGCCCATAGCTGGAGTATATAAAAGGCTTCTACAAATCAGTTAAAAAAAAAAAAAAAAAATTAATTAAAAAAATACATAGATAAGCAGTTTTTATTTTAATTAGTATATCCAAATGGCAGATAAGAATATGAGTGGATGCTCATCTTCACATTGCTCAACAGGAAAATAAAAATTAAAATATAACAGGGGCACCTGAGTGGCTCAGTCAGTTGAGGGACCCTTGATTTCACTTCAGGTTGTGATCCCAGGGTTGTGCAGTCCAGCCCCATGTTGGGCTCCAGGCTGAGCATGGACCCTGCCTGGGATTCTCTCCACTCCCACCCTTGCATTCCCTCTCCCCCTCTCTCTATGTAAAAAAATATTTTAAGAACATAATAAAGTATGACTGCATACCCCAGGAATGACAAACATTAAAAAACAAAAGGATACCACCTATTAGTAAAGGTGTAGGGAGGCAGAATTCCTTATACATGTCTGGTGGAAATGTAAATGGGATATCACTGCTTCAGAAAACACTTCAGTATTGTGTACAAAGGTAACTATAGAGACATAAACTGGATTCCAGCAGTTCCATTCCTATGTGTGTATCCATTAGAAATGAATGCCAATGTATGTTAAAAGACATGTACACAAACTTTTACTGTGTGTAATATTAAAAACAATATTGTGTGTAATAGACCCCAAATTCGCAACCACCTAAATGTTCCATCATTAGTATTCATGCCACAGAATATGCTATACAGCAGTGAAAATGCACCAGCTACAGCTATATGCATTAACATGGTAAATATAATTCTCATGTACCTAATTGATAGTTATTTGTACTATACTGTTAAAATTACTTCTTTTGGTAATTAGACTTACGACTATCACTGATGCTTTTAAATTTTTATGTAATAGGATTTACTTAATTCTATTGTTTTGAGAATGAAGAAAGCAATAGAAGATGATGTTTTTATTCCTCTGTATCCAAAGAGGTAAGTCCTGTTAATAGCTAGATTAAATAAAATAGCTAATCATGTAATACAGATTTAAGAAAGTAATGCAAAAGGAACTATAGTAAATGTTCTCAAATATGCATACACCTATTAAGATGCAAGTTGAGGGGCGCCTGGGTGGCTCAGTCAGGTGAGTGTCCGACTTTGGCCCACCAGCTCTGCTGACAGCTCAGAGCCTAGAGCCTGCTTCAGATCCTCTGTCTCCCTCTCTCTCTGCCCCTGCTCATGCTCTCTCAAAAATAAAAAATAAAATGTTAAAAAATATAAGATGCAAATTGAAAGTTCAACAAAATATTAGCTACTTTTTGTATCCCATGTGTGATGTCTGGTACTTGGACATAGGTTTTTTTTTAAGAATATGACAGGTGGCATATCCTAGTGGTTAAGTCCAGATTCTGGGAGCCTAGATACTTGACTTCAGTCCTTTGTGTGCATTAGTATCTTCGCATGTAAAGTGAAGTGTTAAATTAATGGACATTGTGAAGATAAAGAGCATGCTCAGAACAGTGCCTGGCACAGAAAGCCAGAAAGTATCTGTTAATTGTGGATTTACTTTATGAAGCTAGTAGGGTATTTTTGGTTTTTAGTTTTCCTTGCCTGGGAAGACAGATCTAGAAAAATGTTGCTAGGGCTGATGTAAAACAAATTATTGCCTGTGCTCTCTACTAGGATTTTTATGGTTTCAGGTCTCACATTTAGGTCTTTAATCCATTTTTGTGTGTGTGTGTGTGATAGAAGTTTATTTTTGTATGTGTTGTAAGAAAGTGGTCCAGTTTCATTGTTTTCGCATGTAGCTGTCCAGTTTTCCAGCAGCATTTGTTGAAGAGGCTGTTTCACTTTTGTATATTCTTGCCCTTTTGGCTGTCCATCAATTGACCATATGAGCTTGGGTTTAATTCTGGTTCTTTATTCTGTTCTGTTGATTGATGTTTCTGTTTTTGCACCAGTACCATACTGTTGACTACTATAGCTTTGTAACATATCTTGAAATCTGGAGTTGATGCCTCCAGCCGCCTTCTTCTTCATGATTGCTTTGACTTTTTGTGGCGTTTTCTGTAATTCCATACAAATTCTAGTATTATTTGTTCTAGTTCTGTGAAAAATGCCGTTGGTATTTTGACAGGGATTGTATTAAATCTATAGATTGCTTTGGGTAGTACAGACATTTTAACAGTATTGGATCTTCCAGTCCCATGTGCATGGAATTAACTTTCCAAGTTTTTTTGTTGTCTTCAGTTTCTTTCATCCATAGTTTATGGTTTGCAGAGTGTAGGTCTTTCACCTACTTGGTTAAGTTTATTCCTAGATATTTTATTCTTTCTCGTATAAACAGGACTGTTTTCTTAATTTCTGTTTCTGCTACTTCATTACTAGAGAAATGCAACAAATTTCTGTATGTTAATTTTGTATCTTGTGACAACTGAATTCACGTATCAGTTCTAGTAGTTTTGGTGGAGTCTTTATCCCACCCCCCCCCCCCCCCGTCTTTGTATAAGAAAGGAGTACAGTTGTAACCATTATCTTGTACCTTACTTTTTTTTCTTAGTACATCTTTGAGGTCATTTCAAGTCATCACAAGAGTAGTTTATTCATTCTTTAAGCTGCATAAGATGCACGTGAGCAAAACCATTCGCAACAATGCTGTGATTAATTTGATAGACTTACCCTTCTGTATACCTATAGAAGGCATTCTCAGAAATAGGGTTGTTGGATCAAAGTGTACTTGTAATTTTTATGTCATCAGAGCATTCTGTTTATATTCCATTAATGTGTTAAGGCTTAGTTTAGCTAAGTTTTAGCCAAACGCAGTTTTTTTATACTCTGGTTCTGAAAGATTAACAGTTTGCATTTTGTTCCTTCTCTATTTCAAATTAGCACTGTAGAAAACAAAACATCACCACATTCAAAGTTCCAAGAAAGACAGTTCTGGTCGAGTATAAAGGTAAGCAAAAAACTACAAAAATAACATTTTTTAACTTTAAGTCCAGTGTACTGTAGAGCAGAGATCATCAAACTTCTGTAAATGACCATATAGTAAATATTTTAGGCTTTGAATGCCATATAGTCTGTTGAACCATTCAGCTCTGCCTTTGTAGTATAAAAACAGTTATAAGCAATATGTAAACGAATGGGCATGGCTGTATTTCAGTTTTACTTCTAGACACTGAAATTTCAGTGTCATAATCTTCACATGTTATAATATACCCTTTTACTTTTTTTTTAATTATTTCAAAATATAAAAACCATTCTTAGTTTACTAGCTCTACAAAACCAGGCAGCAAGCTAGATTTAACCCACAAGCCCTCGTTGGCCAACTCCCTATCTAAAAGGAAGTGAGCACCTGGCTCACTGGGTTAAGCATCTGACTCTTGATTTCGGTGTATATCATGATCTCACAGTTCATGGGTTCAAGCCCCACTTCAGGCTCTGCACTAATAGCACAAAGCCTGCTTGAGACTCTCTCACTCTACCCCCTCCCCTGCTCATGCGCATGCTCGCTCTCAAAATAGACATTTAGAAAACTAAAAGATAAAGGATGAAGTCATTGCTAAGTTAGTGGTAATAGGGAAAGATGGTAAGAAGTGGAGTTCAGAAGATATTTAGGATGAAGCACTGAAAGGACTTAATGACTAATTACATACAAAGACTATGTTGGGTGCTAGCCACATTTCTGACTTTGGCAACTTGGTAACTTATAATGACATTCTTTGAGGGCATTGAAGGGGATACAGGAAGAATAGGTTTGAAGGAAAGGTAAAGGTCTGTTTCAGGTGAATTGGTGAATTGAAGATACCTGTGGGTCAAATACAGGAATAGATACAAGAATCTGAATTGCAAGGGACAGATCTGAGCTGGAAATGTTAGAGTCAGCCACATCTAAGCAATGTTGGGAGCCATGGTCAGAAATGACAGCTTCTGAGGAGATGGGGTGAAGTATGAGAAGGCATCTCTGGACAGAACGTTGGGGAACACCAACATAAGAGGCAGGCAGAGAAATGAAGTCTTCAGAGAAACTTTAGAATTTATTGTGAAGCTCAGAGTGGTCACAAGAGGGTGACATCATGGAAACTAAGCAAAGGTTTTTAATAATGAAGTCAAGGTATTAAATGCCACCAAATAGACTGAAAATGTTTACTAGATTGGACAATTAGAAAGTTGTAAATGACCTCAACAAGTCTAGTTTTTAATAGGGTGAATTCATATTTATCATTTGGTTGAGTCAGGAAAGACTTTTCCAGGAAGAGGCAGCAACATCAACAATGACACTTAGTGTGAAAAGGCATTACAGTAAATACAGCACTGGAAAGAAAATGGAAAACACCATTAAATTCACTGAAAGGTATGGATGTGGAGGAAGAAAGGCAACCAGTATTAATTTTATTAGAATTTCTTATGAGTGTTTTACCTAATTTCTCTCCAAACTCACAGATTATTAATTTTATATATCAGAGCAGTGAGGTTGTCAGGTTTGATGGTATATAAGGTTCATACATTGGTAACAGTAGCACTGGCATTTTTGTTTTTTTAATGAGTTGTCTTTTTCATTCTTTTTTTTTTTTAAGTGTTTATTTTTGAGAGATGGATTGGGGAAGGGGCAAGACAGAGAGAGACAGAGGATCCAAAGCCGGCTCTGTGCTATCAGCAGAGAGCCCTGTGCTAAAGAATCTAATGCGACGCTTGAACTTATGAAGTGTGAGATCATGACCTGAGCCAAAACCAAGATTTACACACACTTAACTAAGCCACCCAGGTTCCCCAGTAGTACTGGCTTAACAGCAGTCCTTTATGAATCCTTAGGTCCTGTGGTCTTCCCCGTGGCCCTAGGCTCTGGGAGTGTAAATTATTTGATCAGGAAAGGCTCCAGTGAACTTTTTTGAGATGGATTTTGGGTGATAGTCCTAAAAATTGAGATAGGATGAGCAGATATATAGAGTTTGGAAAGAATTAGGTATTTGTTAAAAAATATTTTCTACTGTTTCTAAAACTGATATTTCTGGGGTGCCAGAGTAGTTCAATCAGTTAAGCATCTGACTCTTGATTTTGGCTTAGGTCATGATTTCACAGTTCCTGATATCGAGCCCCATGTTGGGTTCTGCACTGACAACATGGAGCCTGCTTGGGATTCTCTCTCTCCCTCACTCTCTGCCTCTCCCCTGCTTGTTTGTTCATGCTCGCTCGCTCGCTCTCAAAATCAATAAACTTAAAAAATAAATAAAATTGACACTTCTACCAGTGCTAATAAGGAGACTTTAAAGGAGTTTGACCAATGTTTTATGTTTGCTGGAGACTATTAAATTTTCCTTTAGAGAAACAGCTACATATACTCACTTGAGACTGTATTTTAGCTTTTCCGCAATATTCTTCTTTGGAATGGACTCCTCCCAGATGACACCTTGCAACAACTAGGACTTGGGAAGCTGCTAAATCGCTACCTTATGATAGCTCTTCTTACTGCCAGTCCTGGGCCAGATGTCATTAAAAAGTGCCGCCAGGTAAGTGTGTAGGAATGGATTCTAATTTTCTCATTTTTTAAAATTCAGTTTTTAAATCTGTTTTGTGAGGCACTTGGCTGGCTCAGTCAGTAGAGCTTGTGACTCCTGATCTGAGGGTCATGAGTTCAAGTCCCACTTTAGGTGTAGAGATTACTTTTTTTAAGCTTTAAAAGAAAAAAGTAATCTCTACGCCTAATTTTTAAAATCTGTTTTGTAACAATAATTAAAATTGTGGTACTCACATAATAACAAATCAATTTAATAGACTAGAAATCCTAAAGCAACCAACCCCTCGTATACTGGTTTGAATTATCACCAGCAGGGAGAAGAAAAATTTGTAAATAGTGGTAAACCAACTGGTTAACTCTTTACAGAACCAATATTAAATTCTCACTTCTCAGTAAATACCAATATAAATTTCAGGTGAAATAAAGTATAAAAATGAAACTATAAAATATGGTACCAAGAAGATAAGTATATCTGATGGTAAAACAGTCCTTTTGAACTTAAAAGAAGAAATGATCAGAAAAGGGTAAGTGATTTGATGAAAGTATAAAACTTCAGTGAATCAAAAAGCATTAAGAGAGTATCAGGATTACTTGATCGTTGTTAAAACTGGAGGATAGGTTCGTTGGGGTTACCATACTTATTCCTTCTCGTTTGAAATTTTCTACAATGAAAATTTTAAAGGAAGTTGAGAAACAAAAGGTACAAGCCATCACAAGAATATCTACATTTTTAAAAAGCTCTTTAAAATTAGTAAGCAATTTATTCCAATTAAAAATGTCCAAAAGACATGTAACGTTAATAATTTCTAAACACATACGGGGCACCTGAGTGGCTCAGTCTGTTGAGCATCCAACTTCAGCTCAGGTCATGATCTCATGGTTTGTGGGCTCGAGCCCCACATTGCACTCTGTGCGGACAGCTAACTCAGAGCCTGGAGCCTGTTTCAGATTCTGTGTCTCCCTCTCTCCCTGACCCTCCTCTGCACATGCCGTCTCTGTTTCTGTCTCTCTCAAAAATAAAACATTAAAAAAAAATTTTTTAATAATTCCTAAACATGTAGAAAAGATTAAGAACACTAATAATCAGAAAAACAAAATAATACAGTAAGGATATTATTTTACCTGTTATGCTGGCCAGGTTTGGGAGTTTTTTTGCTTTTGTTTTTCCTGTTAACTTCCTAATTCCTCATATTGTCAAAAGCATGAGGAAACCACAGCCACATCATGTGGTGCAGGGGTTCTGAGAAACAGTCTGTGCTGCTGGAATAAGAGGTAGAATTCTGGAGACTTTTGGCATGATGGCTACAAAACCTTTAAAGTTCTTTTGACTTAGTAATTTTACTTCAAGGAATTTATCCTAAATTAAAAATCTGAGATGCACATACAAATTTCTTAAAACAGAAAATTCAGTGGAGTAGATTTGAGATCCAGTGAGTTGGGCTGCATTCCACCTCGCAAGCAGAGAGACACTCTCAGGAGTTGTACAAAATGGAAAATTTTCATAAGAAAGAAGGTGGAACAAAACAGCTACTAGCAAAAAGAAAAGGATTGTTTCAGGCCATGAGTTTGTCTTATTCAGAGGGGAAGAGAGTCATGGTTTTTATCATGATGGACAACCGCACCAGTGCCTATCCAGAAATTTCAGGATTACCTGTTAAAAAGTGGCACTCCTGGGATGACTTGAAGCTACAGTGAAGTCTTGGGTTTGCTGTTGTAAGGAGCTATTTCTATCAGAATCTAAGTACAAAGAGTATTATTGTAGCATTACTTATAATAGAAACAATTTAGATATCCAAAAACATTGTTCATCAGATAAGTCATTTTTGAGAATTTCCGAATATGAAAAGAATGTTTATAATAAGAATTTTAAAACATTAAACATTAGATAGCAATTCCTACCCCACTATGATTTCTTGGCCTATGGTTTTTATATCATGTAGTTTTAAACTACATTATCTTCCCAAAATTGAATTCATTGCCCATGCTCTGTATTTCAGGTTCAGTTTAGTCCCCCTTCACCCTAAGAGTCTACTATCAGAAGTAGAGAAGAAGATACAGAACATTCTTTCCACAGCTTGTGGCTAGAAAACCATGCCAAGATAGTGTGGCTTTAAGTCCTGGGATCATTTATGGAAAAGCGAGATAGTTCTGTGGAATTCTTATTGAGATTGGTGATACAAACAAGTGAAAAGCATGTGCAAATAACTTTAAATCTCAGTCCATGGGGCACCCGGGTGGCTTAGTCGGTTGAGTGTCCGACTTTCACTCAGGTCATGATCTCGCGGTTCATGGGTTCGAGCCCCGCGTCGGGCTCTGTGCTGACTGCCAGCTCAGAGCCTGGAGCCTATTTCAGTCTGTGACTCACTCTCTCTCTGACCCTCCCCTGCTCACGCTGTCTCTCTCTCTCTCTCCTAGAAATAAATAAAAAACATTAAAAAAATAAATAAATAAATCTCAGTCCAGGAAAGGCTGGTTTTTAAATCCTGAAAAAGAGGTATTTCTGCCTCTAGTCCATGTGTCTGCATTTTTTTTTCTGGATAATTGAAAAAGGTGATTAAAGAATAGGATAAATCTTTTTCCTCAGCTGTGTTTTGAAAAGCATACATTGCCATTTAACATATCTTATAATGTGCATGCGGCGTATTATTCCCCCACCTTTACTTTTGTAAGTACTGATCTTGATCTTACCAACTATAGCAAAACCTGTTTGTCGAAGAATTTCTTTGTATAATACGATCTCAGGTTTTTCCTTTCTCTCATTCTCTTTCCTTTTAGCCTTCCTTCTGCTATGAGGAAATTTTCTTTTTTTAAACATATTTCTGTTTTTACCAAACTTTCCCCCAAATCGTGTATTACCTATAGCGTAATGGTAAAGTGAAGTGATGGTGTCCCCCAGAAATAAAAATTGAATGTAATTGACTATTCTACATGACCATTTAAAATAGTGTATTAAATATCTTACAATTACCTCCTTGATTCACTAACTGTAATTTATGTATATCATATGCTAAGTCACCCAATCTTTTAGTATGAAATGTATAGATTTTATATATATAGATTTTATAAATGTATAGATTTTATATTTATTTTGACTTAAAAGTGTTTGATGTCTAGGCATTTCTGGTGCTTAGTTGTAATTGTATTTGACAGATTTAATGGCTCAGGAATACAGAGTATAGAAAGTATTACAAATACCACTAGAGATTAGTCATAAAGAATAGTCTATTTTAAGCTGTTGGCATTAAGATATACATTTTTTAAAAGTACAACCCTTGATGGCGAAAACTTCTCAAAATGCTTTCAACCATAAACCATAAAATAGAATATACATACAACCTGCATGAACACTAAAAGGATTAAATGAGATGATTGATGTTAGCAAAAGGCCTTAGATAACTGTTGTTACTAAAAACCGACTGTGTGTTTTAATTAACAGATAACAGCATGTTTACCAGAAAAATGGTTCCAAAACTCTGCCATGAGAACGTCTGTTCCCCAGCTAGAAAACTTCATCCAGTTCTTGTTGCAGTCTGCACGTAAATTATCGAGAAGTGAATTCAGGTAATTGTGCACATTTGTATTTCCATAAGCATAATTCAAGGATTCTTTTTTACACTCAGCAATTTTTAGGAAACTGTACTTTTACTCTACTTTTGGAAAACCTCTGGAAGGGCACCTGGCTGACTCAGCTGGAGCATGCAACCCTTGATCTTGGGGTTGCAAGTTCAACCCCACATTTGGTATAGAAATTACTTAAAAACAAAATCTTTAAATCAATTAGTAGATATTTTTATGTACAACCTTTGGAATCACTACTTTATACTCACACCTCACTCATAATAGCTCTTTTTTTAAAAAAAAAAATTTATGTATATTTATTTGGAGCAGGGGAGGGGCAGAGGAAGAGGAGAGAATCCCAATCAGGCTCTACACTGTCAGCTCAGCACTGAGTCTGACACAGGTTCTGGGATCAGTCTCACAGTTCCTGGGATCATGACCTGAGCCAAAATCAGGAGTCAAATGCCTAACCGACTGAGCCACCCAGGTGCCCCAGTAGTTCATATTTTAAAATGTAAATCTTCCAAAATAAGCATTTCCAGAAAACTATTGCACAGGGGAATTTGGGAAACTATAAATCAAAAGCCTCTTATAGCATGTCTTCAATGTGTTTTTTATTTTCCTGGCCATTTTAAAACCTTAGCAATTGTTAAGTGCAGATCTTCAGCCTTATGTTCACCCAGCAATAGCTAGATCTGTTTTGATGAATGTCTCATTCACAGCACTAGATGGTTAGGGGCTTAAGTACAGTTGTGTTCTGATAAAGCATTTCTCCAAAATAAAACTAAACATTTTTTTTAATAACCTATATTTGTAGCATTTCTGTGGGTAAATATTCCCCCCATCATAGCCCATACACACCGATGGCCCCCATACCACAACTCAGCTTTCTCTTGATGGATTTAACGTTACAATCCTTCACATTAAAATTTGCCAGCATACACATCTAATAAGAGTCTATATTTGAATGCTTATATGGAAAAGGGTAAAATCTGGAATACTTTATGCTATTTTAGATATTGGCTTAAAGTTTGTTTCAGATTAACAACTAATGACTGACTCACTGTGCTCTCAGTACACTTCATTTCCCTTTTTTTTTTTTTTTTTCCCCCAGGGATGAAGTCAAAGAAATAATTCTTATTCTGGTGAAGATAAAAGCTTTGAATCAAGCAGAATCCTTCATCGAAGAGTATCACCTAGACCATCTTAAATCAGTAATTAAAGAAGTTTAAGCAAACTATGGGAAGTACTAACATGAGGTTTTAATATAATCACTCTTGGCTCCTTTGCTTGGGGCGGCAGTCCTGCAGGACTCCCCTCCCTCTACCCTGCTTTACCTTCTAGTGTCCCCAAAGGCTGCCCCCCTGTAGTGTCTGCAGGAATTGAGCACACGGGAGCAGTAAAAGTGTAACACACTTCCCTTTGATTCTTTGGACTTCGTTTCCATTGTAAGAGAGGAGTTGGGGAAACCTTGCTGCTTGGACTTTGTTGAGTCTTCTGAACCAAACGTAGCAACATCTGTTAGTTCTCTTCATCCTGTCTCTGTTCACAAGTAAATTAAAATGGAAATCTTAACTGGAATGAATTATTCTAAGTATTAACTGGTTAAGGCATTTTAAGGCCTTTGATAACTGTTGCTTGTCACATTGTCCTTCAGAAATCTGTACCAGTGTATTGTGCCAAAACAAGTGTAATAGGCCAGCAAAACCCTGCCAGCCATAGGCATTATTTTTTTAAGTCGGTACAAAATTTAGTAGATGTAAAAAATTTTATTTTAATTACTCTTTTGGCTGTTAGTACTTTTTTGACCATTTGTAATGCTTTTTGAAATCCCTTCATGTTAATGGCTTTGTAAGAACTTTGTTTTATAGATACTGATGTTTTGTCTGTCCTGTGTTACTGTTTTCCTTATCGTCATTTTTCTTTTAATGTTTGAGGGTTTTGGTGTGCTAAGGCGTTACTTGTTAGGTACTTCTCTTTTGTTAGGGTTTTTGCCATTGGTGATAGGCTTAGACAGGATACAAGTATTTTAAATATCCAGAACATGTAGTGGACTTTCTGATAAAATATTTGTGTATTGAAAAGAAACTGAAAGTTTCTCAAAATGAGAGTTTACTAATAATTTTTTCTTAAATCCATTAAATAACTCCAGGGCAACCCTGAATATATATTTTGTATATTATTGCCCCAATGAAGGGAAAAAATACTATATTGTAGGATTTGAGCATGTGGCTTCTGACATTATCACCTCTAGTTTTGAAGCTGTGTATTTTTTTTTAAGTTTATTTATTTATTTTGAGAGCAGGAGAGAGAGAGAATCCTAAGCAGGCTTCGCACAGTCAGCACACACAGCCTCACCTGGGGCTCAAACTCACAAAACCAGGAGATCATGACCTGAGCCAAAAATCAAGAGTCATGTGCTTAACCGACCCAGCCACCCAGGTGCCCCTGAAGCTCTGTATATTTTAAGATAGATGTGTTATTTCTATTTGTGATTCACTAGTATGAACAGTTGAAGCGCTCTTTTAGTTACACAAACTATATAAGAATAGAATCTCTTCTAGAAACCATTTAGCTGTCCTGCACAATTACTGTCCCAGAGGTAACTGTTTTCATTTTAATGTTCTCATTTCAGACTTTTTCTCTACTTATGCAGATCTTTATTGCATATGAATTTTTGATTTTATTAATAAAGTATACATTTGGAAGTTCCCCTCTGACTTATTTTTTTTTTTTTTTTACGTTTATTTGAGAGAGCACAAGCAGGAGAAGGGCAGAGAGGAGGGACAATCCCAAGCAGGCTGGCCCACCATCAGCGCAGAACCCGATGTGGGGCTCGAAATCACGAACTGAGATCACGAGCCGAGATCAAGAGTTGGACACTTAACCAACTGTGCCACCCAGGCACCCCTGCATTTTTAATTAAAGATGTGCTGGACATTCTCCCTTACATTTTTAACTTGGTCAGAGATTTTTCTTTCATAGAATGGAAAATATTAGAACTGCTTTCAAAACTACAAATTGATTTAAACTCCCAATAATTTAAATTTCATTATACTGGGCTTCATTATACTTGGTGTTGGAACCTCAAAATTTTTATCCATCATATACTATAAGTGGATATTCAAAAACATTTGCAAAACTTCCTTAATCCCCAGTGCAAATTTTTTCTTTTTTTCCTGTTAGTAATTCATCTCACATCTCAATTCTCTCCCTGGACTTTTTTCAGCCTTTTGTTCACATAAAGAAACTTTTAAAAGTCATCTTTCTTTTTTTTTTTTTAAATTTATTTCTAGGAGAGAGAGAGACAGCATGAGCAGGGGAGGGTCAGAGAGAGAGGGAGTCACAGACTCTGAAACAGGCTCCAGGCTCCGAGCTGGCAGTCAGCACAGAGCCCGACGTGGGGCTCGAACCCATGAACCGAGAGATCATGACCTAAGCGAAAGTCGGACGCTTAACCGACTAAGCCACCCAGGTGCCCCTAAAAGTCATCTTTCTTATTTTGTAAAAAACAATACTGGCTGTTAGGAACGCAAAAATGGCCACTAAAAACACCTCCAAACAATTGATTTTTGCATTTCTTAAGCCTGTGACAAAATATGTAGAGGATTCCCAAGAAATACCATATATGATTCAAAACCTGAAAAAGCTATAACAATAACAGACCAATATCCCTCATGAACACGAGAATAAAGGTCCTTCAGACATTAGCAAATTGAACCTAGCAATGTATAAAAAGGATGATAAGACATCTTGACCAAATAGGTTTTATTCCAGGACGGTAATGTTTATTTAACATTAAAAGTCAATATGATTTACCTATGGACAGAGGAAAACTGTATGATCCTTTCAATGAGACAGAAAATGCCCTGGACAAAACTCAACATCCTCTCACAATACAAACCCTAGGAGTATAAATTCCTGTCTTCCAAAGAGCATCTGCAAAAGAACATCTACACTTAACATCATGCTTCATGGTGAAACACTAAGCAAACCAAGGACGTCTGCTCTCCCCATTTCTGTTCAACACTGTTCTGTAGGTCAGAGCCATACAGTCAAAAATTCATACAGATTGGAACACAAGTAGAATAGTCATTCACAAATGATATGGCTGTTTACATAGAAAACTATGTACTCCGCAAAAAAACAGCCAGAACTAGTAAGAGAATTCAGCATGCTCTTAAAAAAAAACAAAAAAAAACACACACACAAAGCCCAGAGCATGCTGGTGATCTGATTAGAAATTTAAAGTTTAAAAACAGTAACATTCTAGTAGCAGCAAAAAAAAAAAAAAAAAAAAATACCCAGGAACAGATTTATAGAAAGATCTGTGAGACCTCTGCACTGAAGACAAAACCTTGCTGAGAAGATGACAACTTGAAGACTTGAGAGACATAGCATGTTTGTGAACTGGAAAAAAATTTTTGGATAAGGGGACTCTATTGTTAGCAATCCCTATCAAAATTCCATTCGACTTAAAAAAAAATTTGTTAATATATTAAAAATTATGTATAAGTGCCAAGACCTTAAAAGAGCCAAACAATATTAAGTTGGAAGACATGCTTATCTCATGTCAAAGTTTAAAGGGGGCATCTGGCTGAGTGGCAAGAGATGTGACTCTCGAACCCTGGGTTGGGAGTTCGAGCCCCATACTGGGTGTAGAGATTACAAAGTTATAGTATTAAACTTACATGAAGTTTAATCAAGACTGGTAGTAGACTAAGAGTCCAGAGACAGACGTACACATAGACAAATTTTGACAAAGATGGCAAGTTAATTCAGTGGGAAAAGGAAAGTAGAACAATATTGGTGGAACTCAATATTTGTATGAAATAAAAACCTTTGACTATTTTCTACTCGGACACGCCCATACACACACACACACACACACACACACACAATCATGGATTTAAATGTAAAACCCATAAACAAAAGCATGTAGGAAAAAAAATTACCTTTGAGAAAAAGGACAAGCTGGACTTAATCAAAACTCAAAATTTATGCAACATCTTAGGTCCTCTGGGAAGTACAAATTAAAATCACCATGATAACACCATTTCACATGCTCTAGAATGACTGAAAGAAAACATCCACAAATACCAAGAACGTGAAGCTACTGGAACACTCCTACGATGCTGCTAGAAATATAAAATGGAATCACCACTTTTCATCAGTTTCAAGTTAAACCCATTTGCCATACAATTCAGCTAAACCATTCCTGAGCATTTACACAGGAAAAAAATATGTCAGGACGCCTGGGTGGCTCAGTCAGTTGAGCATTCAACTTTGGCTCAGGTCAAACCCACACAGTTCATGGGTTTGAACCGTGCATTGGGCTCTGCGCTGACAGCTCAGAGCCTGGAGCTTGTTTTGGACTCTCTGTCTCCCTCTCTCTGCCCTTCCTCTGCTCCCGCTCTCGCTCAAAAATAAACATAAAGAAAAGAAAAATATGTTCACAAAGACCTAAAGGTATATACATAAGTTTACCTGTTAGCCCAAAACAGAAGGTATAACTAGTGTATTCATAAAATGGAAAACTACTCAACATTAGAAATGGGCTGAGGTATATAATAAGGAAATCTCAAAAACATCACTAAGTTAAAGAAGTTAGAAAAGAATACATACTTTATGATTCAGTGTAAGAACAGACCTAACTAAAATGATAGAGGAATGAACATAGACAAGGAATCTTCTGGGAGTGATGGAAATGCTCTGTAACATGATCTGCAAAATGGGTACAAGAGTGCATTCAATTGTTAATTCATTGAATGGAAAACCTAAGATCTGCGTATTTTATTGAATGTTATAATGTTGTATCAAATTTTTAAAATACTTTATAGATCAGAAGTGTCTGGAATAGTGAACTATCTCAGACACTTCTCAATGGGCTGAGTACCACTGAATACCATACTAATTACTCTTCATGATACTTTCAAAGGTCATTAGATGTTAATCAAGGAAAACTGGTATGGATATCCAGAGATGTTTTTGTTTTTAGCATACATAGTCCATTAACCAGTGTTGGGTTTTTTGTTTGTTTACTTATTATGAGAGAGAGAGAGGGAGGGAGCTGGAGTGAGTTGGGGAGGGGCAGAGAGAGGGGATAGAGAATCCCAATCTGTGCTGTCAGTACAAAGCCAAACTCACAAACTGGGAGATCATGACCTGAGTCAAAATCAAGAGTCGGACACTCAACTGACTGAAACACTCAGACCAGTGGTTTTTAACCCCTTTACCTAAACCTAAACAAACCTAAACCTAACACATTTCCATCAAGAATAGTGCCGTTGAATCACTGCCCTGAAGGATTTCACACGAGGGATTCTGTGTGATCTGCTAGCCAGAAACAGCTAGCCCCAGGAAAATTCTGTAAGAGAATCAAAGACTAATTTATGTTGACAATATTCTCTTAAATAGTGAAGTCTCGTGGAGTTAGTCCAGAGAATTATGAATTAATGTCAATAAAGATTTGACATTTAATAAAAAGCCTCTAAAAAGAGGATTCAGGTTGACTACTCAATTGAGTAATTTCATGTAGATGGTTTCAAGACAGAATTAAATAACTAGACCCACAGGTCCCAAACTGAGATGAGATGCCCTGGGCACTGCTATAACCCACAAGGCATTGTGGGACATCTTCAGTTCTCAAGGGAGACAGCACTGCTCAACACCACTCACAAACCACTGGAGCTGCTAGCTCAAGTTGTTCGGTGTCAACATCAGATTGTGTTACAGTACTTTAGAAGACAATATGTATTTGTGAAGCTGGGTTTCCATAGGCTGCTGTTGTTAAAAGCAAACAGGGACGTGTTGAAAATTCCCTGAGCAGGCAAACCCAGTTTAGTCCTATAAGCAAAGCTTAATTCAGCTTATTTTGCAAGACCGACTTGACCTGGGTCATTTCTTGTTTACACCTCTGAAAATCATAAGCAAAATTTAAACTGTTTCCCAAGGTGGATATGAGGTAACCACTGACCAATTCACTATCATCAAAATTTAAACTGTTTCCCAAGGTGGATATGAGGTAACCACTGACCAATTCACTATCATTTAAGAAAATTCTAATAGAGCCAATGACTTTAGAATAAACAGTTACTGCTTTCTCACTATATAAACTGCTTATAACAACATATAACTGAGGGGCGTCCAGCTACTCAGTCAGAACAACATACAACTTTTGATTTCAGTGTCGTGAGTTTGAGCCCCACATGGAGTGTAGAGATTACTGAAATAAATAAAACTTAAAAGAATAATAACACACACATGAGCTTCATTCCATGTTTTGGTTTAAGGACTCCCAGTTTACAAACTGTCTATTTTTAATTATTACTTTGGTGA